ATCATATTTCAAAACAGCTGTAGTTTCACAAGATAACTTTCACTTTAGTAAGGAAATAATTTCAGTACTTCTACCAGAGTATCTATACTTTTACTTATAGCTGGGTTACCTAATTTCAGAACCCAACAAGTTTGTTATATAGTTAATAAAACTAGTCCCTGGTTCTAAACAGTTTTGTTCTATCTCTAGTTTTCAGATGCATGTATTTTTGTTTGTTGTCACACCTTGATCCACTTTTTTCAAACAAAAAAATTGAGAAAAAGAGATCTTCAGCATAACCCATTCGGCCTGCCAAAGTCTTGATATACTACTACTACTACTACTACTTGTTTGTCATGTTGACTAATGGCTAAAGAAATAAATAAACAACTGACATGTGGTCTGCAACCTTTACAAGACTCTTTCTGAAAACATAATAGATCGAGAATTGGAACATACAACATGGATTGTTGATGGGGGAAAAGTTGGGTAACCCAGCTTTAAGGACCTGTTACAAGTACTTTTGTCTCCTCTGCAAATACATTCAAAATAACAGTGCAGCGCGTGTTGGCAACAGACCCAGTAAATGCGCGCTGTACAGTAGCTCCAGGGCGCCGTGCTGTGATAGGCCGTGCTGTGATAGGCCCTGCTGTTGTGACATATCCAGGTTCAGGGGCCCCTCTGCTCTCGCAGCGGCTCAACACAAGAGGCTGAGGCGGGCGAGCGAGCTGCCCTCTCCTGCCCCGTCCTGTGCTCTTCTCCCCGTTCACATGGACTCAGCCCGGGGCGACATGTTTACGGGACATAAGCGGACCCATCACGGAACCGTCGGAACCGTCGGACAGTTTTAATGAGAGGACCTGAATTGGAAAACGTGCTCCAAACTTTTTTTTTGATCAGCTCCCAGTGTGATGGGGGATGGGCTGCGTCCGTACTACAGCAGCAGCACAGAAGCCGCATGAGCTCTCTTATGGCTGGATAAAGAAACCAGCGACAACTATATAAACGGCACAAGCGCGGTAACTTAAGGTGAGACATTATGGAGACTAAAAGCACGGAAAACATAAGTTTCTCCGGCGGCTTTGGCGCGCATGTAATGGTTGTAGCAACTCTACTGTTTGACCTGTTTGTAACCTGCTGGGCTCGAAACATGAACCCAATCACGTTTGCAGATCACAATAGGATCCTAACAACACTTCTGTGTGTCATTTGCGCCGCTTACATAAAAGTGGCCATTCATTTATTTCATTATATTTAGTTCCCAATGGGAGAGTCGTGTGTGTGCCACCTTTGCGCTGTACACTTTACTAAGGCGTTAGCTTTGACATAGCCAGGTCTGCCTGGCTAAATGTCAGGAAAAGTTATTCGAAAAGTAGCTCACACCATGACTGAACAGGTGGAATCTCGTTATGGTATGATCAAACAGGTGTGTGTCACTTTTCAATGTGTTAAACAATACTCATGTTTCTTGTTTTAATGTCAAACGTGTAGGAGTGAACAGGTACGCGGCCTGTGCGTAGGCCTAGTGTCACTGATGAAGGTGCTGCCCTTGTCCCAAAATGTGCTTCCGTGTAGATGACTGTAGGGTTTGATAACAGCAGGATCATATGAAGGGCTTCAGAGCCCCAACCTTCTGTCTTATCTGTCCAGCAGAGTACAGATTGGGTAGCTCATGTATATCGCCTATGCTTTTATACCTTGATTTAACCAATACACTACTAATGTTAAGTAGATCTGAGCTGATCTGATTTGTATCATTCCCGAACACATTATTAAACGACATCTTTAAATACAGTGATCATTATATTCACATTTTAGGTAATTAATGCATCTGAATGACAATACTTTGTCTTGGTTCATAATAAATGAAACTAATAAAAATGTGTACTGTAGAAATGGTGTTCGCTGTATCTCACATTCATGTGTGATCTTACACACAGTTGTATTGGATGTTCTTGTACAATGTCTCATCAAATGTTTGAAGATGACCTCGTACTCTCAAATTGCAGATGTCCATTATTCTATCAGTTTCTTCCACAATAGCGCTGTCAGTTTTTTTCTTAGACTAGTGTACAATGTCTAACTCGTCTGATCAGAGAAACCCGCGACTTGGAAATGATTAACTTCCTGCATGTGAGTGGCCTGGGATATGTTCACCGGACTAGAGTACTGCAGGGATCTGAAATCCCAGTGCGAGGGTGTCCCAGAGGGTGGAGGAGGTGGAGAGCGAGTGCTGGTAGAAATTGGGCACGCTGCCTGAAGCCTTTTCTCAGGGGCCGAAGCTCGGACATCCACAGACCTGTAACTGAGGGCCAGCAATGAGGACAACTCTAGCACAATGGAGATCACAGACGGGAGAGGGAAGCCCCAACTGTCTCTGCGGACTCTGAATGCACATTAAGCTGGAAGCAGTTGAAGCGAGGGATGCCCTGTATGTCTACATGTCTGGCTTTTTTTATAAAGGACATAATGACGCTTGCGCCTTAGTTTGTCGGAAATGGGAGGGGAACTGCAGAGGTTGTTTAACCCTTTTTGTCAGTGTTGAGCAAACATGTTGATGATCGATGGAGTATGTTTTTATTTACCAACATTTTTTCCCCACATATCTTCCTTGTTGCTAAAACAAATGCAAATATACACTACACTCCTGAATTACCGGAGTTTTAATAGTTGTATTATTACCAACTTTGTTGTAAAGGGAGTTTTTTCTATTTACAAATGTAATATAATGTGTATATAGACTATCTTTCTCTAATCTACTCCTGTTATACAAATGTCGAACTCGATTTGGAGACAGATGAATCTGCTCAAAACCGATTTCAACAACATTGATTATTTGAATTAATTCCTTTTTTTGAATATGAACATTTTTCACATTGAAGGAATTAAAATGAAGAAGGGGAATTTAACACCGAATTATAGTGCTGTTTGGGGTGATATTTTTAATGTGTTGTTTCTGATACTAGTTTGCGTCTAGATGTTTTTCTGCTTCCGAAGCTTCTGCAGGTCTTGAGCGCTACAGTGACTTCTGGAATGTGAACAAGTGTAGTATTTAGCTCTAATTCCTGTGCTCGTCACACCACTCTGGGCGTCACAGCTCCCAGGTTGACTTTCAGGTTGTAATGTTGAGTATTAGTTTGCTCTGTTTCATTACTCTTTGTCTCGTCTTGTGGCCCCTCCTTCTGCGTAGCGCTCTTGTTGCTTGGAGCCAAATAGACTCGTGTGAATGGCTGTTTCTGTCGCTGCTCGAGGAGTGCTGTGGCGTTGCTCTTAGTTACCGGCAGTCAGGCGGTGTCTTGTTGCCTCACCTTGCACTGTCACCCTGTTGTATAGCAAACTGGCTACGCAGAAACAAGGGAGGAGTGCGTGCCTGCGCTGGGACACTTTTTGTCCCTCTTGGTAGGGTTAAGCAGGACTTGAGTTGGATGACCTTAAGCATGATAAGCACTACCTTGTATGCTTTTTTTCAGGGAGCTCAAACGTAAATGCTTGAATCTTTTCTGAAAGCACAGGATGTTCTTTAGATCACGTATTGGGTTGTGCAGTGTAGTGGACTTTGATCTCTAGTTCAAGAATGACTACGCTGTAGATGAGTAAGCTGCGGTAGTTGTAACGTATGGCCATGTCTATATTGGAAAGTTGGATAGGGATTACTGCATTCTTAACCGATTACCATAGAAAAGGGTTTAGGGACATCACTAAACCATGCCCAGTCGATCTATTAGTTTGTCTTTGCCATACTCCCCTTTTTAGTTGACTATTTATTCTGTATCTGACCCAAAGTGTACTTTGAGAACGATTTATCATGAAATAATACACAAGAATTGCTAAAATGTCTCTTATGGGACAACAAACCAAGTGAACCTTTTTAAAGGTTATTGATAAACTGTAAATGGATAGTCTTAAGTCTAAATGCCAAAATATTCAGTACATTGGCTCAATAATAGTCGACCAATTGGTTGCGTTCACGTTTTAGATTTCTATTTCAGTTGGACTGCGGGTGCCAGGTACTGTAATAGGAAAAACATTTATTACAATTATTATTTTTTTCAAATAGAAAATGTCCCAAAGCATTTTTATGGTTATTTACCATCATATTTTTGTCAAGTTCGAAGAAACTGACAGTTTTCATGTGGCTTGTCCCAGGAATTGGATATTGGATAAAGCAACTGTAATTTAAGATGATAGAAGTTTGACTTTTACAGCTCTATTAATGATGTTCTCCTTAAGAACCTCTCACCTCTCCCATGTTCTGAAACATGAAAATGAAGGTGTCACACAATGAGAACGACTTCCTTTCACATGTACTGCCTTTGTGTCATCACATGAGCCAACCTTCATACTTGTTTTTCCAGCAACATCAGTGTTTATTTAGCCGCGTGCCGAGCTTGTTCCAGTCGCCCGGCCACCAAACACTGAGACAGGTTATTGATGGTGTACTTTAGGAGCGAGTGAGCGACATTAGGAGCATGCATACATAATCTCACTGAGCCTGAACACAAACTGAATTCACTTCCTGTAGGACCTCTGTCATGTTGTTTTCTAAAGTTCGGTGGTCTTCTTTTTATACTAATGTTTGAAGAATAAAGTTTAGTCAAACCCCTGTCACATGTTTCAGCTGTGAAAGTATGTGGTTGTTCCTTATCTGTTCTTTTCTTGTTTCTTTTAGAATATAGTCGCTTTGAGTCCAAAATCCACGACCTGCGAGAGCAGATGATGAACAGCAGCATGAGCTCAGGGTCTGGGTCCCTGCGCACCAGCGAGAAACGCTCGCTCTACGTCAGGTAATAGCTCATTGTTTGTTGTTAAACCAACAATAACATAATGAAGGGGAAATGCATTTTGCTTCATAACATGAAACAAAAGTTTGACCAAACCTTAACCTTATTGTGAAATAATATTTTGCAGTTGTAAGAGTACGGCATAAAGAAGCTAAGTAAAATACGATTATTCCCTTTTTACAAACTGTCCTACAATACAGCCTGTTGTGGGGCTGGCCCCTTAATGGACTGCTGTGCACTGAGTAGTTCATCTATTGTGGTTCTCGCCCCATGTCAGGAATGTGGAGGTGTGGAGTTTATGCATCTCTATAATCAGCCATGATTAGATCTGCTTTTGAAATACTGATGTTAAGCTAAGGCATGGTTTATACCGAGGCGCTGCGCAGACGTTGCCAAGCTATTAACAGAAACGACCAGGCTCCCTATGCAAATCTCACAGCGTTCATACGATCAAAAACAATGTAGTTCTAGCGCCCGTACAGTAGTGGGCAGAGGAACTTTACAACACACGTGAGCCCCAGCCCCGCTTCCTCTGCAAGACGTGAAAGAATGCACGCGTGAGGAGGAGCGTATCTGAGCTGTCCCACTCTGCAGGCTGAATCTTAACTTTTACGTTTTCACCCCCCTGGAACACAGTCTCCGTATGAACGGGGAACAGCAACCGACATCCAACTATAGCGTTTTACTGCCGTATTGTCTCCGTATAAATAGGGCCTTAGCCTTCTCCAAATTATAGGAGCAGTAACTTATTCCTGTGAATCCACATAAAGTGTGCATTCACCTGCATTTCCCTTTTCAAAGCAAATGCAGCTCATTGTGTATCTTCTGCTTTGTCTTATATGAATTCATGCAGGTAGTTTTACAATAGTTCACTGGATCAGCTGACCGTGACCCTGATCAACAAGTCATTGTGCTTTAAATACTTTGAACTCTAGGTTGACCCCATAATTATCTTCTTTCTGCATTTTAATTTAGTATATGTGGATACTGTATAGATCCCTCTAGGAAAAGTGTGGGTGCAGAAACACATCCTCCATACAAAAATTACTTTTACAATTGTATATTTATTTAATAAAGTGCACATATTTAACTCTGATAGATCTGTTATACATTCATATAGCCGAAGGAACAAAGGATGTCTTCTAACATGAATGAAATGTGTTCCCAGGGCCCTGTTCGACTATGACCGGACGAGGGACAGCTGCTTGCCAAGCCAGGGCTTGAGCTTTTCATACGGTGATATCCTCCACGTCATAAATGCCTCTGATGATGAGTGGTGGCAGGCGAGGCTGGTCACACCACATGGAGAGAGTGAGCAGATTGGAGTCATTCCCAGTAAAAAAAGGTATTTGTTGTTACTATCAATTTGTGGAGTTGTAACAATGTGGTTATTAAATTGATTTTTTTTAATTTGTTTTTCAGAGTAGAGAAGAAGGAGCGGGCTAGGTTAAAAACTGTCAAGTTTCACGCCAGGACGGGCATGATAGAGTCGAACAGGGTAAGTCCAGCTGCTGTCTGTCTGCTGCCTGTCACAGTGAGTCTGGACATGGCCTACTTCCCTTGAGTGTGGGAAAGGGGCCAGCACCTGCTCGCTGCAGCCATAGTGCTCATATTACTGTATAGATTACACACAAGGCCCATGCAGCGGCTCAGTAACCTATACATTGACTCAATTGATTAGACATTTCCACTCCCACATTGTTTTTCTGAGACTGCACCATTTGTAATTAACCTAATGCAATTATGTGGCAGGGTTATTTGAACATCTGAAGAAGAATGTTGATTCTGTTAATCACATTTTTATGCCATTCATTTCATCCATGACCTGTCTCATTTTTTGTTTTCGACGTGCGTTGATTTTGCATGAGTGTCAAGTGCCTTCATTGAAATTCATTTTTTTGTTTTCGTCCTGTTATTGCCCCCTCCCCACAACCTCACCATACCAACCACATTGTGACGAGCAGCCTGTCAAAGTAAAGCGTAAAAAAAGCTTCAACCTCTCACGCAAGTTCCCATTTTACAAGAGCAAGGAGAACATTGTGCAGGAGATGGTGGATTCTGACCGTGAGTAAACAGTGTGACCATGTTGTTTCACATCTCCCTTCATTTCTGTGTCTGGGCTTCCATCTTTCACCTTCAGCATGTCTCCTCTTTCACCCTTTCTTTCCAGAGACTTTGACACATACTACAAGCTGGCAGCAGTGTGTGACTCTTTCTCTGGCTTTGTCTAGAGGAGGAGTGGATAGATGTGGTTTGCTTTTATGTACTTTAACACTTAATAGTGGTGTAATGAGTTTGAATCTAAGCATTTGGGCTGTTTTGGCTCCTAACACCAGAATGAAATAACTGTATATGTCTGGCAAACTCATCACACCACTCCTGTCTCTTCCCAACTCTTGACTAACCTCTTCTTCTTCCTGTCTGCTTTCTTCTCTTGGTCTCTGCTCTCACCTGTCGGGACATCTAGGACTTCCCAGGGTTAAGCGATGACTATTATGGATCAAAGAGTTTGAGTAAGTCTGTAGCTGTACCTGTCCAGCAGCTGTCCCCTGAATCTACTATAATAATTAGAAAATGATTTCACACTTCACACAATTCAAATACAAGTATTTTATATGTATGGCCCTTTAAAACTCACACTGCAGATAATTCCTTATGAAAGGGCTCGAAAAAGACCAAATAAATTGAACACAGACATGGAACATGTATGTTTGATGGATACCTGAATATATATATATATATATATAGCACTCAGTAATGATTCTTGTTTTTTAATCCAATGTTTATTGAGTCATTATGTTCATAGATGCAACATAGCAGGGCACACATGTACAACCACATAAGAACACTCTATCTCCATCTGTCAGTGTTTCATAAAGTGTCAACTAAATACTACAATATGTAGTTCTAACTTGGTCCCTGGACCTCACTTTGTGAAGCACAGCTCTCAGGAAACTGAGCAGGAGACTTCACACCTAGTGTTTGACCCGGTGAAACTTGAAAGCGCCCCACACACTTCTTCATACTTTAGATGAGTCTGAATCACATCACATGAACACTTTAATCTATTGACTTGTTTTGAATTTATGTGAGGCACTCTGATTAACTCCAGCATGTACTGACTTTCAGTAAAAATGTGTCGTAGCAAACGCAGGATGCATTTAATTTTGTATTGCCTGTGCCTAAAAATACTTTCTGAATATTGCTTTTGCATGTGTGAATTCTTTCTTCTGAGGCCTAGTTGGGAAAGGCCCTATCTGCTTTTTTTGTAAAGTTAATTTGATTTGAATTTTAAGTTCAAAATGTTTTTGGAGACTAACGTTTTTATTCTTAAACTTTGCAGAATGCCTGACCTCAAACACAAGTGACAGTGAAAGCAGTTCGAGTAAGTGATCATGTTTCACCAGTGATTGAGCTGCATCTATTTACTTACAAGCAAGATAATATTATTATTATAATAATTATTGTATTTTACCCTGATGGTGGCAGAAATATGGTGCCCTATGGGCCTCTAGATTTAAAATATGATTGTCAGGGTAGTTACAAATATGTTGGCATCGTGTTGACAATGATTGAGATGGTTTTATTAGTAAAATGTTTAATAATTGCAGCACCTCTCATGGCCATAGACAATTTGACAGCAGCGTGCTTGTCTCTTGCAGAGGGCCAGGAGGATACCATTCTTTCTTATGAACCTGTGATTCGACAGGAAAGTAAGTTGGCCCTTGCAACGCTTCTTTGAGAAGCCGTAATTGTATGAAAGAAATGGAATGTCAATGGCTGCCCTTTTATTTCAGTACACTACACGAGACCTGTGATCATTTTGGGGCCAATGAAGGACAGAGTAAATGATGACCTCATCTCAGAGTTTCCTCACAAGTTTGGCTCTTGTGTACCTCGTGAGTGGAGCTGCTCTAAAGCATGGACAATCTGTGACTACAGGCTCTTTATGCTGCAATGCTGATTTGTTTCCCTTCACAGACACGACTCGTCCAAGAAGGGAGAACGAGATGGATGGGCAGGACTATCACTTTGTGCCCTCAAGGGAGCAGATGGAGAAGGATATTCAGGACAATAAATTTATTGAGGCAGGACAATTCAATGAAAATCTTTATGGAACAAGCATCTTGTCTGTCAGAACTGTGGCTGAGAGGGTAGGCATCATCCACTCACCGCTTCAACAGTTGAATTAACTCATCTTGTGTAATTTTGAATTATTGTCATGTTATTTCAGGGGAAACATTGCATTTTGGATGTTTCTGGAAATGCTATTAAACGACTGCAACAAGCACAACTCTATCCAATTGCCATCTTTATTAAACCAAAATCCATTGAAGCTCTAATGTAAGATTGTCATGATTGGAGTTGTTTCCATAGCATGTGAAGAGCAGGGCCTAATCATCTATTTTATCTACATTTCAGGGAAATGAATAAAAGGCAGACATATGAACAGGCCAATAAAGTCTTTGACAAGGCTGTGAAGTTAGAGCAAGACTTCGGAGAGTTTTTCACAGGTTTGTTACACTTTCACACGTTCATCACTTTTCTGTGTCCATGCAGCAAATACGTGAAAGTGTTTTTGTCTCCTCAGCTATTGTACAGGGCGATTCACTAGAGGAAATCTACAACAAAATCAAGCTAATCATTGAGGAGCAGTCTGGCCCCTACATCTGGATTCCGTCCTCAGAAAAGCTCTGAGCCTCTTGTGGCCCCCTCTGCATCACAGCGGAGACCCTTTTCCAGAGACCCCATCCGAGCCCCTCGCCTCCTTTTGCAGATGTTTCATAACAAGTTTTAGTGTCATCATTATGTTAATCTCTAAATGAAAAGAAGTCTTATCACCATTACTGTGACTGTGCACACCCCTGCATGAGTTTCTCAACAAATCCATTCAAGACTGGAAACTCCATTCCAAAGGAATTTGTCAATGAAAACAAAGGGAAAAGGAATAATCCTTTGTGAACTGGGACTGACTGAAGACCAGAACGCTTTACTTTGTGTGACAAGAGGAATTCAAAAAGGCTGCAGGGTAAAGAAGCAAATTATATTTAGATGGGACTTTGTAAATGTCCATGAAATGACACGAGACCATAAGTGAAACCCAATAATGGTGTTTTCTGGACTGGATTGCCCCGGCCGATGGTACTGTCAGACGTCCTCTTATTGTTCATAATGAGGTGAACATTTGCAGAGAAACTGATGATCTACTTATACAAATCAGCTTGCTGTTTGGTCGTCTGCCGGTTGTTTGTGGTGCGGCTGAAAAGGACTTCTAGGACGATGAATCAAAAGAAATGTGTTGTTAATCTACATTTATATTATAAAATCACAAAGTTTAATGCTAAAATCCTAAAATTTTACTAAATATTACAAACTACACATTTACACTTCACTAGAGTTGTCAATTTGGAGGGCTGTTAGATTTACTATGTTTTTTTTCTATGTGGGGTATTTTTGCTTGTGGTTTTTAGCTGCTCTGTGTAAAGGTGGGGGTAGAGAAGTGTAACCGGGCTCTCTGCAAAACGCCAATCTGCCTTACATCAAATACAAATTCTGTTTTGTGACTACCTGTTGTCTGTAAAGGAGGCTGTTCACAATTTTCAAGGATCTGAGAGTGAGAACTCAACAGTCCTTTACTTTTATGTTTTTAAACTGCCAATAGGGGCCTGACTTGGAGTGCAATAGAAATTAATGTGTCTCATTTGGAGGCACATTATTTTCCTGTACAAGAATTGATTTTTTTGATTACAATTTTAACGGACTGAGCCTCCCGACTTCTGTTATGCAGCTGATCACCCTTTTACACTCTCTGCCTTCCAATAGATTATCTGAATGGTCACATGGTACTGTCCAATCTGCCACAACTTGGTGGCCTTAAAACGGGTAGAACAAGACAATAATTGTATTGGATGTTCTAACAATTAAAGTGTCAATATAACCAGTTTTGAATTGTCCCCTGTCCCCTACCAAAACACTAAACATGGGTTTGATTCAACCACCATACTTTGTCCATCATATATTTATAAAATCTGCTGTTCATGAGTGTTGGGTTCTTGTGATTGAAGTTGGAGATGTTGAAAGAAACGGGTTGTGATTTTGAAGGAGTGCTGTAAAACTGGATGCAGAGATTTCGACTATTGAACAGGGCCTTAATCATTAGTTAAGCTGTGTTTTTGTTCCCTGCGAGTCAGAAATCTTAAGTCCATAGATTTCAGTAAAGAATTTAAGACATTCCAATTCTCCACTGCAGAGTGGTATGGGTTTTCATCGTTATGGCTTTCTTACTCAAATGATGTGTGCATTGAGTTTTGTTATCAGCAAAGCCATCAGAAAATGGACCTCTTGCTCTTTGCTAACCCTGACCCATTGCACCTGCAAGCATTTTCTGAACAGGTAGACCTACCTGCAAGGCACCACTGCTTAACCAGCTGTCATTACTTGTGTCAAAAACAGAGTTCAGGGAATATTCGAAGGGAACAGAGCCATTATAAACTGCTTGCAGACTGTTTTCAAGGGTGTGGTTGTTGAACACTGTAAATAATCCCCAGCACCTGTGCTTCATGCATGTGCGACCAACACTGGAACAAACATTTTTAGATCACAAACATCAGGTAAGTAAAGTCGAGCTACTCTTTGGAGAGATTGCATTCAAATGTGCTGTATAGTGGCGATTTCTCTTAAAATGCCTTTGGGAAACTTAAGTTTGGATCTGGTTCCCTCAAATAAGACCTGTCTACATGTGGATCATTGTGGAACACGTGTGAGTGTGTACAAAATAACTTTTGAATTCAAAAAGTCACGCAGTCACATTTCAGGAGCCTTGATTGATAAAACATGTAGAACATTGGTTCCACCTCCGTGTAAAGTTAAATACAGCTGACTGTTAACAAATGTGTGTAGTATTTATGCCTCAGTCAGCCATGTCAGAGCCCAAAGAAATTTCATTTGACTCTTTCCATTGAGGTTGTGGTTATGAGATCTGAATGCATATGTGTGTATAACTGATGAAGGTCTATGTAGAGAGAAATCTATACTTTTATTTGCGGGAGGGGAGCACTGTTTATACTTTGAGTTTTATGATTCTGACCAGAGGTGCAGTAAGTACTTGACAACGTGAGCCTTTTGATTGTACAGTAGTTTCCTTCCTGTCACCGCAGGTGGTACAGCCTCTCGGGACACTCGGCCTCAAGGTCTTCCCTGTCCTAAATATGGAGATATACAGTCCTGCGCATTTTGTTTGGGTTTTATTTTGGGACTTGGCAAAAACTTATTGTTTGAAAATAAAAAATGTGACTCAGTTATCAGATCTTGATGTCCTTGTTATTGTACTTCTTTACATTTTCTAATTTACTTGAACAAAACACAAAGATATTGACACTATCAAACTACTACAGAACTGAATGAAGTATCACTCTAATCAAACTAATCTATAATGATGTTCTTCTTTGCTCTGTCCAGTTTGTCCAGGATTTCAGTGTATAGACCAGACATCTATGGACACAAAAGTCATGTGAGTGTTAAGTATGATGTGTGCTGTGTGTACAGGTGTGTACCTGTGCCTGGTAGCTCTCCCGCAGTGATCGCAGGTGGCACACAAATCTCATGGCAAGGCCACACCACTTCTCGGCCTCTGGATACCGAGTCAGACTGAACAGCAGGACACCGGTGTTCCAGGCGCGAGTTAGAAGCCACAGGATCTCCATTTCGGGAAAGTCATCCGGCTGCACAGAAGAACAGGAACATAATCAAAGAAACATTCATTAGAATCATCTAACCAAGCCAACTCACTGACTTATACCCGCCACAGCTCAAACTGCCTTTAGAGCACTGCAGTAGTGAATCATGGTGCTTTTGCTTTGCTCACAACTTCTCACAACTGTTTAATCTCATGCAATTACTTTGATACATAAATGACACGCTTTCACTTGTGTCAAAAGAAAATCTGAACTGTCTCTGCTGCAGGGTAATGTCTCAATAATTTGATGTCTTTTTGCAGCTAAAGCTCACCGGCAGTGTGACTTGTACAGCACATTAACATTCAAATTGGCAGGAAGGGGTTGGTGAATGGAAGCATCTGCTAATTGAAGTGGGGCTGAAAGCCCATTGATAAAAAGAGCCTGCAGAACAGCGGGCAGGAGTGGAGTGGAAGAGAGAGGGTTAATTATACAGCAGCAACAGCAGCTTGTGATTGGTGCTGACTCACTGCAGCTGCAATGATGGACAGAGCCTCTTCATAGTAGTCCCACACCTCCTCCAGAACATGGGCCTCCACATCTGAGACACCGTTTGGTAAAGACAGCTTTATCAAGCTGTGAAGACACTTACTGAGAATACAACAGCAAAGTTAACAACGTTGCCGTATCTGACTTTTAAAATGGAAAAGGTGGAACTATGTCGTTAAAACCATCAACATGGTTCCCAGCTATCCATACTCTAGTATATCAGTAATCTTACACATTTGCAAAAGACTTTTCTAATTAGACAGCACTTCTCAAAGAGTGGAGGGTGGGTGAAATGGTTTCAAGATATACATCTTTTAGGAACAGTAATAAGACACAAAACATTTTAATTACATTAGGTCAAACACTACTACAGAACGGGCATTTTTTGATATTCTCTTTTTCTACTATTGAGAAACACTGTAATAGCATAAAGACAGCACGTTCTGGCTTGACAAAATATGACTTGGCTCTTTCTGTATAGAAAAATGTGAAAAATATTAAACAAAAAAGTTCATTTGAACCCCTGCTTTAACCAGGTACATTGTACCTGAAACGAGGTAGGTCGATCTGTTGTTGTTTCTTGTGCAGAGAAAGAGCAACCCGCAAAGCCTTTTTACACAGCATTGGAAAGTGGGCAGGACTCTCCATGGCCAAAGCTATTCATAAGTATAAGTAAAGAATAGATGTTAAATCATTGACAACATTATACAACTATTATTGAATTCAGAAACCTGCAACTGTTTCCAGCACTTTGGTCTCAAGGTTTTCTAGCTCCAGAACTGACTCTAAAACTGTCTCAATTTTAGGGTCATTGAGTTTTGCTCGAGCCTCAAATTCGTATAACAGCAGCAAAGTGTCAGTGGGGTCCATTGGATAGACTCCTTCAAACACACATTCATGTTAATGCTCAAATCATTCAAATAATTTTTAGGTTCAAATGTGGAAGTTCATTTTTCACCGGATGTCTTTAGTGTTTTCCAGACCTCTGCACAGATCTGAATATGTTCTAAAACCTGGGTGAGCTCTTCAGTCTGAAATATAATAGAAACTTTTAAGAAAAAAACACTGCTCACATGCATATATCATGCAATAATACAACAATATAAAATCAGGCTACACAATTTAGGACATTTATTGCCGTGCAGATGAATGATCTGAGCTCATCATTGCCACCAAGTGGTAAGTTAGGGTAAGAGACATCCGTGTACCAGGGCTCACTAGTCCTGAAGGATTTGACGATATGAAGGTATGGAGCTACCAATACTAAACCGCTCATGGTCAATGTCTAAATGCTATTGTGCTTATCTGACCTGGGTAAAGTCTGTAGTCTTTCTGCAGATCTCTAAAGAGGCAGCAGCTGCCATGAGCAGACAAGTCTTCTGAGCCATGAGAACAGTGCGATCTGGAGGGCACAGCTGGGACAGCTGCAAGTTTAAATAAGTATTCAACTGGTATTCATATCAAACATTCACCAACAACAATTTGAGTTATTATTATCAAAGAACACCGAAATGAAAAAAGCTGATAATTCGTAGATTTCTATTTGTCATCTTGTCTTTTCTAAAATCATGAATAGGCCTTATATTGCTAAGAGATATCTGTATATCACGAACACAATGCAACAGATCCAGAAACAGACCCTGACAATAAGTTTGTTTCTTCAACTGTTAATATTTGCAAGTACTTAACTGGAGAGCAGTTCAATATTACCATGAACTCAATGGAAAAACTGTCAATAATACATTTCAACAGTAGAAGCATTTACACACATTTTCAGTCCATTAATGAGTATTTACAACAATTTGTTTTCTCATTCAGTATTATAGCCATTACAGAGACGTGGTTCAATCATGATAAAGGCATACAGTTTTGCCTTGATGGCTATGAATTAAGATACTTCAATAGACAAAACAAAGCAAGAGGAGGGGTTGCTATTTATACATGAATCAATTAATTTTAAAGTTGTAACACACATGACCCTTGCATTTGATGGAATAATGGAGTGTCTAACTGTTGAGATTATAAATGAAAGAAAGAAAAAAAATGTATAAGCCGAGTTTAGCGAACACCTGGTTCAAGTATTGAAGCTTTTACTGAATGGGCAGACAACTTATATTCTTCTATGAACCACAAAACATTGTTCATCTGTGAAGATCTTAATATAGACCTGTTAAATCTAAGTTAACTAAACATAAATCTATTGATGACTTTTTTGGAACAACAATTATTGACAATTATTGACAAAATGTTCACCAACATCATGAAATCGAGCGTCACCAGGGGCCTGCTTATTTGCGACATCACTAATCACTTACCTGCCTTGTATTACTGCAATCTCATGAAGAAACAAAAAGAATAAACAGAAACAAACCATTGTGGAAAGAATAATATGTGACGATACAATATGTGGCTACAGAGCCTATACAGGAAATGACTTATCCTTGAACTTGTACTTGTTTTTATGTGTCTTTTTGTTTTTCTTGTTGTTATATGTCTTCTAATATGGACCTTTTACTCTTGTGTCCGAAATAAAGTATTGAATTGAATTGAATTGAATGTGCTTTTAACAATAGTCTTGCACACTAAGATTGAATCCTGTTTACAACGAACCAACTGCTGACAATGCATAAACTCTTATACCTTGCTGTATGATAAACACTGTCCTGTGAAAGTAAACCGTGTAACCGTGTTAACTGATATTATAAGAACAAGCAAACAGCAGAACAAAGTAAACGATTGCACGAGAATCACAACAATATAAAAGGAACTTGGCATAAGCTAAATAGTCTAATTAAACAAGGAATCTCTCTTTCATCATATTCAGACTATTTCCTTGATGGAAAAGGTGAAAATGGTCAATAATTTAAATATTTTTTTGTAAATGTTGGTTCTGACTTGGCAGCAAAAATCACCCACAGATTATAATGATATCAATATGACGTAAGTTAAAAAAGTTATTGTTAACATTGTAAAGCCCTTAAAGTGATTGTCTGTTTGTTTGTCAGAAAGAGAGAGAGAGGTACTTGATTTGAAAAAAACGACGCAAGCTCCTTCCCCCTTCCTTTCTGATTGGTCTACACCTACGTTTCCGTAACACTTTTAAATGTAAATGAGAGAACACATTATACATATACATTATTAATACACATGCACGGAGGTTTTCAGAATTATTCGTTAACGTTTTCATGAAAAAAAAAAGGTTTTAATGCACAAAAAACGATCACGGCAAACCCGGAAGTAGCTATTATCATGAATTGAACATTTTAGGACACATCTGCAGAGGATCTGATTATGGATATAGGTTCAGTATAAATGAGTAACTCAGCGCGGATGTTCAGAATTTTTTGCTCAGTTTTCATGTAGTTCCAGAGCCTAATAGAGGCTTGAATCGGAGGCTCCGCGAAAACAACTGAGCATGCGCGCAGCTACGAGCATCAGCGCCGAGGATTGACAGCCCTTTGCATCACTTGGTTGGTTAACGTGGACGGCATCGTGGATTCTGAGCTATAGCTAAGAGAACAGAAGGCGGGAATATTAGAATTAATAAAATGACTTATTTTATATCAAAATTTAAGCCCAGGAGGTCAATTTAATACAATTATTAAAATTTGTAATTCATTTAGAGTTACAGACTATCACTTTAACATATATTTTCAACATAACATTCCAAACTGGTTGTTTCAAGGTCATTATGGTTTTAGAACAAGCAGAACCACCTCAATGACAATCATGGAAGCAATAGAAGAAATTACTAATGCCATTGGTATTTTTGTAGATCTCAAAAAAGCTTTTGACACCATTAACCATATAAATCTACTTTTTTTTTTTTTTTTTAACTAGATACATATGGAATAAGGGGCGTTGCTGGGCAATGGATTAAAAGTTATCTAAGGGATAGGGTGCAATATGCAAAAATGGGACTGTATACATCTAACTCACTTAATATTCAATGTGGGGTCCCTCAGGGGTCCGTAGTTAGTTCACTGTTCACAGTGGTTAGGATCTAAGTATATTGAAAAGATGGATGGACGTAAACAAATTATCTTTAAATTTAAATAAAACCAAAGCAATGTTCTTTGGTAATCAAAAATTAATTTGGGATTACCATGTCTTGGAAACCCCATGTCAGATACATAAGACCTAAAATCGCAAAATGTCTCTTAATTTTGAATAAAGCAAAACCATATCTCGAAAAGGATGCACTACGTACTTTGTACTGCACCTTGGTTCTCCCATACTTAACGTATTGAGTTGAAGTTTGGGGAAACACTTATCACAATACAACTAATCCATTAGTCACATTACAGAAACGTGCAGTATGGATCATTTACAAGGTTGGATTTCTGGAGCATACTCACAATTTATGTATTCAAACAACAAAGTTGTTTACATTTTGGGATCTTGTAAAATATTATACATCTAGAATTTTATATTAAGCATTTAACAGAATATTACCAGAAAACCTACAAAGGTTTTTTACAATTAAAGCTCCTGCTCATGCAATGACACTATATGGAGATTTCACTCAACCATTAATTTGAACTACTCGTAAAAGTTTCTGTGTTTCTGTTTGTGATGATGTAAAGGTTTGGAATGACCTGTGCCTTCAACGGAAAAAAGGCCAAATTATTCACACATTTGTTATATCAACAAATTATATGGTCACAATATATTGAGGAAGGGTCCTAAAATTATATGAGCGCTGTCTGCTTATTTATCTTACCATTGTTGGTATATTGTTTATTACCATTGTTGGTAATTGTCCATTTGTCTTACTATCACTGGTCTTGTTTACTATCACTGGTCTTGTTTACCTTTCTGTTGTATTATTGAGGTTACAATGTTCTCATCTGTTACCTATGGACACGCCATGCTTTTCCTTAGTTTTCTTATATGTATCAATTCTTCTTTCTTTGATACATTACAGTTTGCAGTAGCAGATAAGCTAATGTGTAAATGTAAAAGGAGGTGGGATAAAATAAGTTCTCTTCTACACACTAGGCAAAATTGTTTTTTGGTATGTTTTCTGATTATGACAACAATTGAGATGCTCCTGTGTTTGCCTGAAATAAATAAGTAAATAATAATAATAATAAAAGAGATCAAGATCAAGACTAAGAGTACAGTTAAAGATTAATTAATAATTAATAATTAAGATTATTCAGGAATATAAGGACTTTACGAATATGGTGTCAGAAAGCTAGTTATGATTAAACTATAACTAACTATAACTAACTATTACAGCACTTGCCTGATAGGAGAGCAGAAAGAAATCCCTCATCCGATCAGGACTGGCCTCACACTGCAGAGCGGAGTTCCAGGCTGCAGTTACAACACGGTTACTTTAGAGGTCAAAACATGTCCAAGGTAAAGTTACAAACACAGAAGTCATCATTCACCAATCTTTCTGAACCAGTTGGCCTCTTCAGTCCTCTTCTCTGTGGACATGTTTGACTGATGTGAAAGTTTCTGAAGGCCTGGACACATTTGAGGCTCACACTCAGAACAATCTTTGTTGATTTGATGCGTTTAGTTATGTGCACCTACCCATTTTTAAATATGGAAGCAAAACGTCCAGTTCGAGGCCTCTGTGAACAGTGTTGCAGTCAGAATGAACCTCACCTCCTCAGTTTGTTCGTGTCTTACCTCAACTCATTGCAGGACATATGTACTTTGGAAAGCACCAGTCGAATCAAACACCTGTGAAAAGATGAATGGGAATAGGGAAGTTGACCTCCTTTCTTTCACCTACTGACGCAGCTTTGCAGACACACTTTCAGAAGAGAGGGGGAATATAGGTCGCTAGATCGTGGAGGTGTAGGGAACTTTGATTCATCAGCAGTTTACACTTTCCTCTGCAAAATATGGCTGTTTACTTATTCCCCTGGTTCTTTCTTTGTTTGGTGGGATAGAAACAATATTTCTCACAAGTTTTACATCAGTGACTAAAAGATGAAAAAAAGTTTTAAGGTACGCCAAATTTAACATAGCCAAATATTTCCTAGATCTTCTTCTTTTATTTATTTCTGTTATTAGATGTAGTCATAATAGTTTAATAGTCTGTTTCACATTAAATTGCTGTAAAAACTGCCTTAAGTCTTTGTGCCAAACACAAGGCCTACAAGCCAAATCCAGCCCGCACGACCATATTTAGTGTCCCCTAAACTCCAAACCAGGAAAAACAAGGTTGAGATTTCCAGACGTCTTTGGCAAAAATGTGTAGTCGAAGCGGAGATTTTGAGGAACATATGAGACAGCTGATAATCGTCTGTACCTGAGCGCTGTCACAGCCTGCATATCATCTGCAGAGTTCTCACACAAACTCTCCAGAGCTTTCATTGCGGTGTCTTGTTGCCCGTTCTGGAAAAGACAAAAACACAATACAAAATTACAATCATTATCATTCTTTATTTTGTCTTTCCTGCCGATAGCTCTTACCTCTAAAGCGATCTGAGCCGCGAGACTGAGGAGCAACGACAGAGCATTGTCCGAGACCAGAACCTTGTCCCCCGTGGTCAATGGATTCTTAGAGAGACGTCCAATGGCATTTATAGCCTGGGAAGCTTTGAGAATATAGAACAATACACAGTAACTAGGGATGCACCGATACCGGTACGGGTATCAGGTTGGTATCAGGCTTGTACTCGTACTCGTACTCATACCATAGGACCTGATGCCGCCGACCTAACCACATTTTTAATAAACAATAGCGTTACGACAGCAAAAAGCTGTGCAGCACGTGTTACCATGGTGATCTCCCAAAGTTGGCAGCGAGAAAGCGCTTGCTGCTAGCTAGGTCACGAGAGTGACAAGAGTGTACGCGGACTGTACGTTGTGTAAGGCAAAACTGTCACAAGGTGAGTCCAAAGAAAATACGCATTACACCATTACATACGCATTACACTTGATCAAACATCTGAAAACTCACCAGCACATGGAGTATAACACCTTTGCTAGCACCGAAGCACAAAACAACTCTCCAAAGTTTGTTGTGAAGATGTCAAGCGTAAATAAAGTGACTGGTTACTCAGGTCAAAAGTGAATCTTAAGTTTATTGGTCACTTCTGATTTATGTTTACAAAGATTTACCAGTTGAGTAATGCTACTTTTATATTATCTATTTAAGTTTAAACTTTATGTGTAACATAAGAGCTTTAAAAATCTGTGCACCGAAAGGGCAGCTATTTCTTTGTACCATTTGCATGAGTGGTATATGACAGTGGCTTTTTTATTGTTATTTTATTTATTTATTATTATTTATTTAATATATATTATATATATTATATATATATATATATATATATAATATATAAATATATATATATATATATATTATTTATTATTATTATTATTAATTTATTGTTGACTGTTAAAACCATTTCTAAAGTGTTTAATTATAGCATATTGAAATTAAAAATAATTTTCATTTCAGTTGTAAGAGTTTTATGAATTCCCAGGGAAAACACAATGCTGTACCTGTGTGGGTATTCGGTATTGGCAAGTACTAAAATGAAGGTACTCGTACCCGAATCGATTTTGAAAAAAATGGTATACGCGCGTTGCTAACAGTAACTGACGTGCACTGTGGATATTGTGTGATTAAGTGAGTATCCTACACATGAAGTACCTTTCTCAACATTATTTTCCAGTACAGCAATCTTATAAACGCTGAAGTGAGTGAAAATGCTGTCTGGATCACACCTTTCTGCTTCTGCTACCGCCTCTGTAGCCTGCAAAAAGTACATTTGAATGATTACTGAATGATTTGGGGTACAGATACAAACACATTGTATGAATGTTATGAATCTAATTTCCAATCTAATATACTAAAATATAAAGGGTATATATACAAATAAGTATAAATACCAAAGGGATATTCAATATCAAAGGAGCAGTATGTACAAATCTGGCCAAATGTGGTACTGCAATATTTTGTAGTCCTCTCCCACTCTCCCTGACTCAGGTTGCCAGATACGCACCAAATCCAGCAGCAAACACAAGGAATTATTTTATCAGTTGTTTGTCTGTCTCCATTCACATTGCCATGATGACCGTGCTAATGTTGGAACATATTTCTTCAGCGTATCAGCATCAGGGTTATCTCCAGGGGGAGAGGGGGGGGGGATATCACCCCTCAATTTTTTGTACTCCCTATTTTTAGACATACTATACAAGTCCCAAATCCAAAAGAGACTAACATTATTTGAATTGGGGTACATGTGGTATCATCAAAAAAATATATTCTCCTGTACCATTTATGTTTAATGGTGAAATTGTCATTATTATTGACTCATTGATTACCAGACTTTTTCAGATCAGGGAAGTGCGTTCTGCCAGTGATTTCATGGGATTTGACCTAACTTTGAAGAGCCACAGAATATTCAGCTGTTTGACTAAGCAAACAACAAGGGCCAAACGAAAGATAAGGCTCTTAGCTTTAATCGGCAAAAAACGGCTTGGGTTTACCTTTTACCGTTCTTGAGCAATCTGTCATAGAATATAATATATATAGTTTAATCCAAAAGACATATCTCACCCGGATTCAAACCGGGTCATCGCGGCGCAAGCGCTGTGACTTAACCGCCAGACTACTATGACATACAATTCACAATTGTCCCCAGGCAGGTTTTTCCACTGTTAATGAACAACGTGGCAAGTTTTGCATCAGACAAAAAGTTTTTTTCCGCCTTTAATTGTCTCAATTTTTCAAAGGCGTCCCGATATAAATCCTAGTTTTAGTCAGTGTTTTGTCATTAATGATTTGAGAATCATAACAATCCGTTTTTTAGTTCTGCAGCCACATGTGATTTTACCAGTGAGATTAGCTAGCCGCGGGGAGTTCTGGCAACCCGGATCACGGACTTCCTGACTGGTGGAACGGTGGAGGGCTATAAAACTAATTTTGAAATTCAAAATTCTCGGCTGAACTACTGTTAACAGTTCAAGAAGTTTTTGAAAAGAGCATGGTTTATTAATGCCTTTTGACATCTTAGGGTCATTTAATGATGACTTGACATGCAAATATAACACACTGCTACTTTAACAAATATATATATATATATATATATATATATATATATATATATATATATATATATATATAAACAAAATACTTTGGCATGTCACCCATATTTTTGTCTCTATCACTGCTTTTATGCCCCCTGACTTACTTTGTTACAAGTTTGCAAAATAAGTTAGGTTATGCTACAACTTTAAGAAAATAAAATTAGAATAACCTTTTCTAGCTGCTTCAAGTGCAAGAAACAGGAAGCTCTGTTTCTTTGCAGTTTAGCAAGGTTGGCATCCATCTGGCCTGATTTGAAGAAACTTAGGGAGTAGTTGTACCATTGCAAAGCTTCAGGAAAGTTCTGAGACTAAAAATGAGTCAAATTAATGTTATTATTGTTTTTTTTCTTTGACCAATTGCACAAATATACCTCAAAATGTTTGGCAGCTTTATCCCATAACAAAACATGCAAAGTAGAAACGACTTGAGGTGTCAGCTGTTTGCTCGTGTAGTGACCTGCATAGAAGCAGACAAGTGAAGAAAGAGCAACATCTGAAAATCTGCTTAACACAATAAAAATGTAAATAAATAATGGTTACGAGTGATGATATCCTCAATCTTCTGTTTGGCCAGTAGCTCTTTGCCCCTCTGCAGAAGTAACTCTATGTGGAAAACCAGAGCCCTGCCCTGTTCCGAGGACGACTCGAAATGCTGGCAAACTTGCCTTAAAAACTCAAAGGCCAGTGTCTCCCTATGGAAAAAATCCTTCTTATTGAATAACAGCGGCTGTAGAATATAGAAAAGTCAATACCTGTTATCTGTCAATATTAATCTGACGGTGCCCAAACACACATCAAGGGAGACCTCTGATTGCAGCATCTCATCCAGTCCTTAAAGCAGAAACTCTTTTCACTTTTTTATATTTAAAATTATAACATATCTCCAAATCAGTATGCTTGTTTTTTGAATTGTGTTTACTTTTTATAACAAGAAGCAGGATAGACCATGGCATACACACACAGTACAATGTCATTTGTAATCAACAATCTACTAAAGAATACCAGAGCTCTAGTTAATTTGCCAGGTCCCTTCTGATCTGTTCTAATCATTTTAGTACAAATTAAGTGAGACAAACCGGCTCTGAGGTGGTCCTCGGAGGCGCCAGATCTCTGGAGTATTCTGATTTTTAAGTACAGACCGGGCGCACTGGCACTTTCCTAGAAAATCATAAGCACAGGAATCATAAGATCAGGAAAAAAACGTTCCACATGTAATACAGTCATAGCAGAGGAACACCTTGTTGGCCAAAGACACGGCGTTCAGAGCTTTATCCTTAAATTTTTGACAGTCCCATTCCAGAAAGACAGTAGCAAGAAGTCTCAAAATCTTAGCCTGTTGGCAAATATATTCAACAATAATTTTGCTTGCACAAAACACAACTGAAATAAAACTGGATATAGTTACCTGGACGTCTGCTCCGGGAGAGTAAGCTGCATTCATTTTCCCAATGTCAAAGCTCTGGCTGTACAGATTTGATTGGATTAAATCATGGTGGAATCCCCATCAATAAATAAATGAAATACCTTAACCAAAAAGAGCTTTCCTCGTATTTTTTCAAATGGTACATATCAACTCCAAAGTTATAGCACATTAGAGACAGATATTCAGTCTGCATGAAAGATATTGACAGTAAGATTTTATATCTATAAACCTATTATCCATGTTTTGGTTTACCTCTTTAGGGAGCCGTGAAAGCATTTCTTTGCACCTCTTCATATACGCCACAGCCTCATAATTATTACCTTGAAATATTGCCTGCAAAATACGTTTGGCAAAAGAAAATCAAAATCACTATAATTGTGGTGTCATTTTTTTGTTTGTTAAATGTTTGATACCATTGTACCATTCCAATACATCAATAATTCTTGACATTGGAACTCATGGTTACCTCTTTGTCTGCTCAAAATGTTGTTATGGATTAAATAATTCACAATTATCAGAATAAAACAAGAATATATTTTTTATGGAAGATTTTATGTGTCGTCAGATTTAGAATTTTTTTTAGCTTGAATTTTTCCGTTTGAAATTTTTAACCCTGAAAAAGCAAGTTTGAATATTTTTATCTTTACTTTTCAGTCACTAAAAATTCAGTTTACAAATTTAAATGTGATTAAAATTTCAAAATGACATATTCACCCTCAAAATATTCAATTTTTTTTTTTTTTTTTATGTAAAAAAAACAGACGGATTATTTGTTCCATCAGAAATTGAATTTTAAATGGACCTGAATTCATCTATTTGAATGTTTTTAACATCTGGAATATTTTTTTCTGTGAATTCTAGTCACTGATTATCAATTTCATAATATCAAATTCAACAGTCAAAATTCAACAGTCAAAATTCAACGAGAAAAAATTCAATGGTGAAAAATGTACATGACACATCCGGTGTTCTGACGAGTTATGTGCTCTGTCAGTTGGTCTGCGCATGCGTCATTTTACTGAGGTAAAGACTGGCGCTAGCTTTCAGCAGGTCCATCGGTTGATAATATGAATCTAACAGGTTGATATGGGATTTCTAATGAATGGATTGTAATTAAACCAAGGCGAATAACAAGATGATACTACATTAATTTGATGAGTTAGTCTTTTTGGGTGAATGTGCTCGTTTCAAATCATTATAGCTGTATATTCCTGTTTATTTATTTAGGCTGTGTGTGTGTGTTTGTGTTCATGAAAACCATCACATTTGAACATTTATAGCAACAAAGGACAGTGTTATTGTTGGTTACGTTACACAGTATTTGGGTCTAGTTTCCAGTGTAGCAGTTTCCACAGGGCTCACTCGTGTTACTTGAAAAAGAGTTCCATGTAAAGGAATTAACAAAAAACATGTATTCCACAGCTTGAACTCTTGTACACTAAATGATATTTGCTGAGTTGTCTCTGAAATAAAGTAACAACGGTAAGAACACCGTATGGCTGCTTATTTCTTGAGCTGTGAAAAGTTACGTGCTCTTTCGGCTCCACTCGCTCCGTAAACAAAGCGAAATCCTCTCTCTCTCTCTCTCTCTCTCTCTCTCTCTCTCTCTCTCTCTCTCTCTCTCTCTCTCTCTCTCTCTCTCTCTCTCTCTCTCTTTCTTAAAGTGACGGTAACATAAATATTCTAAGTTAACAAAATCTCCATTAGTTCTAAAAGGTCTAATGTAGATAACGAGAGATTCCAACGTCAGTGAAGAGAAAACAGAGTTCATTATGCGCAGACCAACTGAGAGGGGAAATAACTCGTCAGAACACCGGATGTGTCATGTGCATTTTTCACCATTGAATTTTTTCTCGTTGAATTTTGACCGTTGAATTTAACATTATGAAATTGATAATAAAGCCATAAAGGGGCGACAGTAGCTCAGTTGGTAGAGCATTGGCCTTCAGGCCTGAAGGTTGTGGGTTCAATTCCCACCTCGACACATTCTCCACCGACTCCCACTGATGACTGCTGTCGTTGTGTCCTTGGGCAAGACACTTAACCCCACTTTGCCCAAAGCCCCCACTGAAAGATCAAGGCTATGCTCACACTCAGAGAGCAGCCGTCCTCCTGTGGACTCACCACCTGCAGAGGGTCAGTGAGGGGCTGGTGCTATGAGACTTGGGTGGCATCTCTGACTGCCACCCCCCTGACCCAGAAATGGATTAAAGGGAAGAAAATGGATGGATGGATGGAAATTGATAATCAGTGACTGAAATTCACAGAAAAAAATATTCAAGATGTTAAAAACATTCAAATAGATGAATTCAGGTCCATTAAAATTCAATTTCTGATGGAACAAATAATCCGTCTGTTTTTTTTTTTCATTGAAATTTTTTTTTTTGAATATTTTGAAATTGTCATTTTGAAATTTTAATCACATTGAAATTTGTAAACTGAATTTTTAGTGACTGAAATGTAAAGATAAAAATATTCAAACTTGCTTTTTCAGGGTTAAAAATTTCAAACTGAAGAATTCAAGCTAAAAAAAATCAAAATCTGACGACACATAAAATCTTCCATATTTTTTACATTTAAAAGCGAAAAAAGTCGTATGTGCCACACTGACTTACAGTGAGGTTGATTTACAATATAGAGAAATGGTATTATTATATAATATATTCTATATATATGACAATTAACAGTTAAAACAGCTCACAGACTCTGCCTGGTACGACAGAACGCGGAGCAAATCCTTCTCCACATCGCCCTTGGATGAGTTAATGTTGGCATCTCCACCTCCTCGAGATACAAGTTGACCATACAATATCTCCAGGCTCTGGGTTAAAAAGTAATTATAGATGACCAGACTTGATGTGTCAGTCATAGTTACAATGATGTTTTACCTTTACAGCCAGTGTTAGGAAGCTGTCTGCCATCTGAGGGTTTCTGCAGTCCAGCCAGGTCCTCCCAGTCTTACTCGCCATCTTATAATGATGCAGTATAGTATTATAGTATGAGCAGTCATCACACAAACACGTGCTCACGTTTCACTCACCAATATCTGTTTGCGTAGAGCGCCCTCTGCTGGTATTTCTGGCTCACAGCAGTACAGAAGAGAACACGCTACATGACGCACTGGGAAAGATAATCTTACTTTAGTAAATAATACTTTTAATGACCAAATGTGTCATGACCTTCAACAGATCCACCTTTAGCTTTTTGATATTTGCTGATGTTGTTTCCCACATTTTTGGTAACTGCCCAGTTCCACAGCTGAACGGCACACTCTTCCAGCTGTAACATTATGTGTGAGTGCTCAATTGGCAAAGAGATATCAACCAAAAACAGTGTTATGAGTTTTTTTCAGGCGATTATTTAATATAATAATACTACATTCATATTTTTTAATGTAATTATTTTCAGTTTATTCATTACAATTACAATTCATCAGTCAACTAGTAACATAATAAGTCCATAAATTGTCACAGTCCTATATTGACACTGCATGATGTTAAATTATAAAATGTTTCTGTTCAAACCTCAGAGGATGGGCTTCTGCTGGTGTCAATTTACAGTCTATGGTGTCAACAGAGCGCGTTCAAATCACTGGATTAGGACAATGTGTAATTGATGGTCTGTTCATTGTCTGTATGCGTGTCACACTAACACAAATAATCTAAAGTTAGCTTTCATAGACCTAAAAACAGTCCTGATGATTGGAGCATCTAAGGAACAAAACAAGGAATCACAAGCAAAAGTAGCTAAGTAATTCCTTGTTTGTCAATAATACTGTTTTACTTCTACTATTTAATATGGCGGTAATCAAACGACTTCTGTACTTCAGACCATGTGGTGGTGTGTCGATGTCGTACCTGTGGGTCGTTGTTCTTAGGGAGATTTTGAGTGTTGGAAATTTCTGAAAATAGCCTCTCAATAACTTCATTATCAGGTTGTTGGTTTAGACGCAGTTTTTCTGACAGACCTGCAAATTAATACCAGATATAAAACATAGAAGTTGCATCACAGACAAGAAGAATGTAACCCCTTAAATCATATTACATTTGAATAGTTTGTAGTATTATTTGTCTCAATCTGCTAAGAAAATAATCTTTCGACAAAATGATATATTACCATTTAGAGACAGGGTGAAATTCAGTATCATTGAGGATTTGGCGCTACTATATTTTTCTTACCACCACTGTCTTTGATAAGTGAAATAAATATGGGCCATAGAAAAGTAGCATAATGGCAAGTAACCAAATTTCATAAATAAAACATACTTACATGAAATTGTCGAGGCAAAGGGATCCATAGCTGTAGAAGCTAGCTAGAGGTTAGCTTTCTCGGATCTCTCCAGTTAGCTTAGCGTCAACAGTAGAAAAACGCTTCTTATCCTACTACCGTTTCTTTATTTTCAGATTATAAGAAATATAACACAACCATCGCACATTTGCTGAGTTCGTAGCGTTTTTAAAAGGTTTGGAACCCTAAAAAAAAAATCATCTCTACAATGCGCGCGAAAATTTGCCAGTCACGTGACCAAATTCAACCGCCATGTTGATTATCAGTGCTAACCAGTGCTAACCATGGTGCTAACTTAAAATTGATTCAGCGCTGTGCTTTACCAATGCCCCTTGGCTGTACTAAACCTTTGACAACAGCCTTCGCAGAAAAAGGTATTTATTTTACTAACTTTTCAAACTGGATGACAGCCGCATTGCATAGAGAGACCTTTTATTTCTATTTTTTTATTTTATTTATTTATTTATTTATTTATTTTTAGACATTTTATTAGTTTATGATTTGTTGGTCAAATGTTTTGCCTGTCTTTGTTATTGCTTTTGCTAGGCGATTTGGAGAGCATCTTAAAATAAAATGTTCTTAACTTAACCCAGCCCTTAAGCTTGTAAACTTCCAGTAATTGTTGTAACCATCTTCTGCCCTCCTGGCCCATGGGAGGTCTTCTTTATTGCTAAACACACAATAGACACAGAGGCCCTCTCACGCCTCATGGTCTGCTGGTGGTTTCACAAAGATCTGTCTGTTCCAAGGTCAATTAGAAATACATTTACGATATTGATTCAAATAGTATATCTTCTGAAATTTGATGTGACACGGACAACATGTGGAAACGTTGTAAGGGATGGAGTACTTAAAATCAATGACAAACATAAATACAGATGCATACCAATGCAAGGAAACTTATGTGGGAAGCCAGGTCGCTGTATAGAAAGTGTCATGTAACAATTCTACTACTTAGCACTTAAAGGGTTAATTCATTTTTGATGCAAAGACAAAATCAAAAGTTCACAAGTCTAGAATTGCTCAAAAATTGTAATTGTGATTAGTGTTGTTGTGTTTTCTAACAACAGTAGGGCTTACAAGACAATACCATAGAACAGGTCAATTGTTGATATTTTCTGATTTAAGCAGAAGTGTGTCTGAAATATCCATCAATGTCCTGTCTACCTCTTTGATATAAGAAAGGTAAAGCAGGATGTTCTTATTTGGAGTAGACGCCAGCAGCTGCAGAGCTCTAATGGACAAAAGATTATTTACTCTGATATAAAAAGAAGTATATCCTGTCCCTAAGCTAAATATAAAACACAGTGTGTAATAAAGTCTGCTCTGGTGTGATCACTTATATGTTTCCCTTTTTTTAATTTGTTTTGAGGGCTCATTCATAAGCATAATATCTGATAGCAGGTATGGGTGGTGTTTTTTTCTAAATGCACATGGACCATTCCTATCCAAGCTTTGTTTGAGTTTATTAGATTCCTTGATTCCATTGATTTTGAACCTAAGCCTACCAAGGAGTCGTCTATATGGAATCGATCCTTGTTAAAACAGAAGAAAAGAAATTTCCTTGGAAACAAGCGGGGGTGGTCCTCCTCCAGCATAAGTTGACTACGAGTGAGGTTTGTTTGTGAAAATGCAAGTCAGCTTTATGAAGACGCAAGAAAAAAAATAATGTTCCACCATGACTAAGACTACACCATAGTAGAATCTCTGGGCTTATGGGGCGAGATGCTGCTGCGTAAAGGCAGTGACGTCGCGCGCCCTGCCTCCGCGCGTCCATAAAAACGTGCCTTGCGTCTGGACCTTGGAGTAGAGCGAGAGCAGAAGTGTCTAAAGAGCGCACAAACCAAAGAAGGCGCACTGTTTCGTCTTAATTCTGAACTTTGCGCGGCTTTCAGTTGCTCATAACTTGCAACTAAGTTACGTCTGTTTTGCGTTTTGGCTTATCATTTGTTCTTCGCCCATAGAACGGGAGTGAAAAGAGCACCTGCGCTGGATACGGACAGAGCTGCGCAGGGGAGCGGATCACATCCCTGGGAAAGGCACAACGCGCACGATAAATTATTATTTTATTTAAGAAGACTAAAAGTAAACATTTGGTAATGAAACCCCAGAAGACATCTTTGTGAACTTGCTTTTGGTTGAAACCCAAGGATTTAAGCTACTGCACTGTATGCGATTGGAAATTTGCAACAACCACGTCAAAGCTGGCGGGATGCACATTTTGGATACGTTAAAACTTACTGTCGTCCTCCTCGGGTGTAGTGTGTCTCTTGTATACGGTGAGTACTTATTAATCATCAGTTGTGACATTTTTGTACTCTTCAATTTACAGTTGTGTGTTAGTTAATTGTTATTATATTCTATGTTGTCATTCAATTGCCTGACTTCTCCTAAATTAATGTGCTGTGTTTATTTTTATGGCTACATCTATATTGCATTATTGATGCAAATTGAACATGAAATTCCGTTTGGATGCAGTTCTTAATAGTTCCGCTGGAGGTCATCTTCTCTTGTAGTCAATACAGGCCCTTGCGAGTACAGATGCAGTGTGGGAAACATTTCAGTTCACACTTTGAACCCATGAAAGTGATTTAAAAGGTTGTGTTCATGTTGTAGAATTTTATTTCAATTTGAGAGTAAGTGCCAATACAATTCCAAGGGGCAAGAAGCAATTTCTGAAACAAATATTGAAAAGGAAAACAGATATGTGATTCGATTCACAGCAATCGTTATATTCTTATGTCTGAAGGTCTTGTTTACTGGCCAATATCATTTATTTTATGGGATGGTAATTATACCATGGATGAAATTTAATGACTAACAAGACGTGGAACATAGTTTGCTTTTAGTTTATTTCATGTGGATTGGCCAGGAATTACAGAAATGTTAGTTAGTACTTTTCACCTCAATCTTAAGGCTGTTTGGAATGTTGCGATGTCACATAAATAAAACCTATATAGATATATTTCATCTGATAATTAGCTAAAGTGTTTAATTATTTCCTGCTATACAGTTGAAAAGAATTCACAGGTAAAACTTAATAATCCAACATGAAGACGGTTTATCATTCCAGTGCTATATTTGTAATGTTGCTCCTGTCCAAACCAAATAAACAGCCCATCCAAACACAACTCTACCTCTCTCTGCTTATCACGCACTTTTTCTTCGACTTAAATGTTTTTGAGCAGATTTCCTACACTGTCCTCAACCAAACCGTGGGAAAGACACAAGAAGGAAACGGATGCAGGGCCTGGAATTGTTCTGGCACTCAAGGGTCACGGAAGTGTGACACGCTACCTGAGCAAAGGCTTCTTCCAGTGGCTTCTTGTGCATTTTCTGAGTTATGTCCACAACAAGGCAATGGTCAGGAAAGGGTGGCCATTGTTACCTAAGGCTTCTGACTGACAGGAGAGGTTGATAGGCTATCTTTTTCTTTAGTACAGTCTTTATTCAAACTGGGCGATGTTGACAATAATTCATATTGATTGTTTCTATATTTAATCATATTCAAAGAATAATGTGACAATCATTATTGCCCAAAAACATCCTTCTCAATGTGTTGCTTATGATTCAAGATTTGCGTTCAAGGTGACTGTATAACTGCATCTTTTAATGTAAAGATTGGGGGGTTTTTTCTTCAATTTTATCTAGAATTTTCAAAATATTCAAAGCAGCATTTACAATATTGCTCATTTTTTTACCACAAGGGCTTATGTTAAACTAAATATTTGAATTACAGCTTTGATTATCTGAGTTGAGAGGGGAGTGGTCAGTAAAGTGTTTGCCTAATTACAGCAATCGCAAGAGTGGCTTTGAAATATTATTGCTTAATGTAAAAAAGTTTTTCACAAAAATTAGATATTTGTGTCAGGGACTACTTTCAGGCTGGATACTAAGTTAACTTAAAACACATGTATTATTCACCTCGAAACAAAAATATATTGTTGCACTCTGTTGTTCATTTGGCGTGGACTGGATACTATAATTGAAAACATGATCTGGAGTTGAAAATGGGAATAATGGGAGGTCAGCCAGGTACATGACAGATTGATATCTTTGCATCAGGTTTTATAATTGCCTCTGAAACAACATATGCACAATAAACATGTAAGTGGACCTGCCATGTCGTAATAATCTAAATAAACTAAAGTCATTGGCTTGTTCAGCTAAACCTCAGCACCCTGCACCTTAAGACTTTAAGCCAGCAATTCATTTTCTTTAAAATTTCCAATTTCAAGGAGATTCACTCGACTGCATTGTTCTAATCATGTGTAACTGAAGGGAATGTTATGGCTTTACTTTTGAGGACGTCTCATGCCGGAGATTCCAGTTGCTGATGGGACTTAACTTTACATAACCTAGAACAGCCCCCCGTCAGGACCAGATGTTTTGTTATTTGGCTTTTGTGCAGTGCCACATTTTGCCTCAAACTAAGAAAAGGCAACAGTGAATTTCCTTAAAGATAAAAAAAATAAAAAAATAAAATCTATCATGATCTATTGGTCATTCTTCTAAATTAATAAAAAAAAGAGTTGAATGAAAGGATAACAGGACATACAATGTATGAACAAGGTCAGAAATCTAGGGGTAATACTGGACTCAGACTTAAATTTTAATAGCCACATCAAATCAGTAACATCAGCAGCTTTTTACCATCTAAAAAACATTGCCAGGATCAAAAACATAGTGTCTAAAGCAGACTTGGAGATTCTTATCCATGCATTTGTCTCCAGTAGGTTAGACTACTGCAATGGCCTGCTCACAGGTCTCTCCAAACAGGCTGTAAAACAGCTGCAGTACATTCAAAATGCAGCAGCTCGAGTCCTGACTAGAACCAGGAAGTACGACCACATTAGTCCAGTCCTCAGGTCCCTGCACTGGCTTCCTGTGGCTCAGAGAATAGACTTTAAAACAGCTCTCCATGGCCTCGCACCAAAATATATTAGTGACATGTTAGTCCCATATGAACCAGCCCGGACTCTGAGGAGCACAGGGACTGGACTCCTGTTAGTGCCCAGAGTCAGAACTAAACATGGGGAGGCTGCTTTTCAGATTCACGCTGCTAAAATCTGGAACAATCTTCCTGAAGATGTGAGACAGGCCTCCTCTCTGACAATGTTTAAAACCAAGTTAAAAACGGTGCTGTTTAGCTGTGCATACAACTGAGGGATTTTATATTTTTATCTTTCGTTTTAATGTTCTGTGATTATTTATGATTTTAATGCTATCTTGTTCAGCACTTTGAGTTGCCTTGTGTATGAATTGTGCTATACAAATAAACTTGCCTTGCCTTGCCTTGCCATGAATATCATAAACAGATGTGTCCCTGCTGGATCAATCCAGTCAGTGTTAAAGTGAACAATTCACGTACTATTGTATTTGTTTCAGTGATATGGTACAATAATGAACAAAAATATGGTGGTATAATATAGTATACTGATGATCAAATAAAGATATGCGTGCATACAATTAGGTGAACAAACTTAAGTAGAATGGATTGACACAATAACAGGGCTAAACTATTTATGTTGTTGTGTGTATATTTGATTTTTACTTGGTTATGTTTGCTTACTCCAAGTTCAATACATACAACCGACCTGTAGTAACATTTGACTGGAAAACCTTTTCTGAAAATTATAATTGCGTCATTATTGCATGAAAGAAGAGGAAATGCCACAAATTATTTTTGTACCAGTGTGCCGGGATTTGGTTATTCCATGATAGTCTTTACTTCCTTGTCATTGTGTATTGTTACTCAATTGCATTTACAGGCATGGTACTTAACACGCATCATACTTATTTATTTTAAAAATGCATCACGTTGGTAAGATGTTTGTATGACCTGTGACTGTTTGTTCCATGGCTGGCCTCTTCGTAATGACTCCTAATGAGAAACAGCTCTGGCATCTTTGAACTTACACAATAAGCACAATTTTTGGCATTTTTAGAAGTTCTTTGGGGGGAATGGGACTCACAGCTGGTTGTTGTGTTGTGGGTGTTTGAACGCTGGCTGAGGGCAGGTGGGAGTATGCAGGCGTGGGTTTTACATATGCTGCATTTTGTTGTCTGTGTTATCTCTGTCATGTCCTCTTAACATTCAGAGCATTGTAATCCAGTTCATAAATGCCACTAAATATAGTTTGTTTGTTTATTAAAACATGAACGACCATAGACCAAGTGTCTTCTCTGTGCTTTAATCTTGCACGATGCAATAATGTAACTTAAGTCTGCCAGGTGGTCAGAATTGAGTGCACTTGCAAGAGCTGGCATTGACATTAGTGGAATAGCTCTTCTAAACCATGAGTGAGTCGGAAATGTTCATCCGAAATATATGGAAGCTTTGTATGTAAATACTTGATCCAACATGCTTGTTCTATGCTCTATTGGATATAATAGAGAACTTGTATTAGTCCTACAGTGTACAGTTTATATCATATCATTTCTTGCTAATTTTATGTAAAAAAATTTCCCTACAGATCATGCAGAGGCAGCACACATTACAAGGATATTGCCCGATGCAACACCTCTAATTCTTAATAAGGGGGATTCAGTGTCTCTGATCTGCAGGTATGTCACAATATGTCGTGCTCTGTGAAAGCATCGTCTTTGTGGTTATTCCTGGAAAACACAAAATGATGTTGCCTTAATTTGTGATGCCTTGGGAATGGATATTGGATAAGAATTTAAAGAATCTTGACTAATTTCGTCAGCTTGCGAGGAATGTCTTGTACCACTTATCGTTTAAATGCGTTGCTTCCCTAAAAGGCCATATAAGTACACGTTGGGCTCATAGTGTCACTGCACAAACTCCCAAATTCTTTAGGCATGTCAGAAACGTCATATGTTCCTCTGGGAATCCTTTATTGAAGGTTTTTCAAACAGATTTTGAATGGAAAGATTGTGCTTGTTCAATCCAGAGTTCAAAGATTCCCATGTGAAATCTCGGCCTGTGATGCAACCTAAAAATAAACTGATTCCATTTATGTATTGAAGATTTTAAAAGTGGAATTCATTGCAGTGTGGTGTTGACAGATAGCATGGCTCAGCATGTTGAGATGCTTTCTTCACCTCTTTCTTCTTTTGTCTCTTACCTGTCAGAGGGAGGCGTCCGCCGCTCTGGGATCTTGGCTCTGAACTCAGATCAGGAGGAGCGGTGGTGGAGCGGTGTGATTCCCGGCACCGTTCTGCCCCACACTGCAGCAATTTGACCATCACTGATCTGACGGCTAACCACACTGGAACTTACGCCTGCCTGAGCTCCAATCAGAGCGCATTGTATATGTATGTTACAGGTAAGGCACAACAACTTAATCCACAATAAAATGAACTGGGAGGATGATTTATTTGTGAGCAGGCTGAGAAACCTACAGCGAAAGTATTCGCCCCCCTTGAACCTTTCAACATTTCGCCACATTTCAGGCTTCAAACATAAAGATATAAAATTTTAATTTTTTGTCATGAATCAACAACAAGTGGGACACAATCGTGAAGTGGAACAAAATGTATTGGATAATTTAAACTTTTTTAACAAATAAAAAACTGAAAAGTGGGGCGTGCAATATTATTCGGCCCCTTTACTTTCAGTGCAGCAAACTCACTCCAGAAGTTCAGTGAGGATCTTTGAATGATCCAATGTTGTCCTAAATGATGATAAATAGAATGCACCTGTGTGTAATCAAGTCTCCGTATAAATGCACCTGCTCTTTGATAGTCTCAGGGTTCTGTTTAAAGCGCAGAGAGAACCATGAAGACAAAGGAACACACCAGGCAGGTCCAAGATACTGTTGTGGAGAAGTTTAAAGCCGGATTTGGATACAAAAAGATTTCCCAAGCTTTAAACATCTCAAGGAGCACTGTGCGAGCAATTATATTGAAATGGAAGGAGTATCAGACCACTGCAAATCTACCAAGACCCGGCCGTCCCTCCAAACTTTCATCTCAAACAAGGAGAAGACTGATCAGAGATGCAGCCAAGAGGCCCATGATCACTCTGGATGAACTGCAGATAACTACAGCTGAGGTGGGAGAGTCTGTCCATAGGACAACAATCAGTCGTGCACTGCACAAATCTGGCCTTTATGGAAGAGTGGCAAGAAGAAAGCCATTTCTCAAAGATATCCATAAAAAGTCTTGTTTAAAGTTTGCCAAAAGCCACCTGGGAGACACACCAAACATGTGGAAGATGGTGCTCTGGTCAGATGAAACCAAAATCGAACTTTTTGGCCACAATGCAAAACGATATGTTTGGCGTAAAAGCAACACAGCTCATCACCCTGAACACACCATCCCCACTGTCAAACATGGTGGTGGCAGCATCATGGTTTGGGCCTGCTTTTCTTCAGCAGGGACAGGGAAGATGGCTAAAACTGATGGATGGAGCCAAATACAGGACCATTCTGGAAGAAAACCTGTTGGAGTCTGCAAAAGACCTGAGACTGGGACGGAGATTTATCTTCCAACAGGACAATGATCCAAAACATAAAGCCAAATCTACAATGGAATGGTTCACAAATAGACGTATCCAGGTGTTAGAATGGCCAAGTCAAAGTCCAGACCTGAATCCAATCAAGAATCTGTGGAAAGAGCTGAAGACTGCTGTTCACAAACGCTCTCCATCCAACCTCACTGAGCTCGAGCTGTTTTGCAAGGAAGAATGGGCAAGAATTCCAGTCTCTCGATGTGCAAAACTGACATACCCCAAGCGACTTGCAGCTGTAATTGCAGCAAAAGGTGGCGCTACAAAGTATTAGCGCAAGGGGGCCGAATAATATTGCACGCCCCACTTTTCAGTTTTTTATTTGTTAAAAAAGTTTAAATTATCCAATAAATTTTGTTCCACTTCACGATTGTGTCCCACTTATTGTTGATTCTTGACACATTTTTTTTATTTTTATATCTTTATGTTTGAAGCCTGAAATGTGGTGAAATGTTGAAAGGTTCAAGGGGGCCGAATACTTTCGCAAAGCACTGTATAAGGCTAAACATTGAGCACTGAGTTAGGTTTTAAATTGCTTCATTCACTCGCATATATCCCACCAAACCAGTGTCTCAAATTGTTTCAGATCCACACCAGCCTTTTGTGGAACCTCATCCCTCTACGCCGCTGCTCCTCTGGACTTTGAGAAATGAAACCAGCCTCACTATTCCATGCCGAACGTCGTCTCCTGATGCTGTGGTGACACTGACTGCGGTGAGAGTTTATCACTTTTAACCTTCTAACCTGGGTCTTGGTCTTGGCTAGATTTTATGTCAAGTAAAATATATGTTTATGCTTATGCATGTTTAGCAGAATGTGTGGTTAAATGATAGTTGATATAAAAAAAAACATTACAGCTACAAGGTTTTACGCTAAAGTCATATTACTAGCCACACCTGAACATCTAAGTGGCGTTGACCTGACTTTTGGCCTGGCTGTAGACTGGGACAATACTAAGGCAAAGATTACTTGAGTTTGATCGTAAGCATTGGCTCAGTAATGATCGACTGGAGGAAGCTCAGGCACACAGGAGTCATCCTGTCGCCTTCCTACAAGAACAGGAAGGTACATCAACAGAACGTTCCTTTGAATTGGTTCTTAGCTAAATATAGTCACTGGTATCTTACAAACACACGGAAATAGACAGACAAACAGACTTGGTGTCCAGCTGAAGTATAACAACAGATATATCAACAGACACAATCTTGCAGTTACTGTTGCTTTGTTAGTTCTTGTTTTGGCCGCTTTCACACATGATAGGAACTATTGGAGGGGCCATACTTTGATATACATTATTTACTTATTCTGCAATGTATTAAACCGTATGCTTAAAACTGAGTGTAGTTTGCATGTTCTCCCCATGTCTGCGTAGGTTTCCTCCAGGTGGAGGAAACAATATCTGAACTCTTTACATTGTAAAGCACTTTGGGTGACCTTGGTCTGTAAAATGGGCTATATAAATAAACATTTCTTACTTACTTAAAACAGTTAGAAGATACACACAAAATGTTGTTGTATAATCCAATAAAAAAAAAAAGTCCCCTCAATTGTAAATGCTCCTCACACATGTTTTCAAACGCCTATTAAAATCCATAATGTAACAGTTGGTCAGTTTCAGTTTCGTTCTGTGTTTGCATATTTTTTGGGTGCTGTAACTGTATTTGGTTCTTTTCAGTCGCCTTCTTTATTAAAAGAAGTTGAGGATGAAATGGAGTGGGATCCAAAAGTGGGTTTCAAGATTCCCTATAGTTCTGTTGCCCACTATTACTGGCTGACTTGCACCACGGAGGTGAACAAACGTGGTTTTATATCAATATATATGCCGAGAAGATGGAGTAAGTACTTTTGTGTTGATATGACCTATTATACAGCAGTATTTCAAACTCTGCCTTCTTTAACACAGCTGCCGTCCTGGAAAAAGTAAAGATTACTCCAGTCAATTTAAAACTAATAGCTGGGGACCTCCTTTTTCTCAATTGTACTGGTGAAACCACATTTAATGGCAGAATCAACTTCACATGGGAGTTTCCACGGAAAACAGTAAGTTAAAAGAAGAAAAAAAGTACAGTAATATTAAGCAGGAGATGTAACCTGCTTATTTGCAGGACCATCGACATTATACTAATAAGACACTGTCGAAGTCTGGTACAGTCGTTCACATGAGTAAGGCGTTATATTTGCCCAATGTAACAATGAGCGATAAGGGCGAGTATCGGTGCAAAGCAGATGTGGAATCCACAAAGTACAAAACTGTTAAAGTTAAAGTAACGGTATATGGTGAGTCTTTTACACAACTTTACTAGTGATATCTGATATTTTACTCATACTTTCAATTCACATTTCAGAGCATCCTTACATCACTCTGTCATATAGAACTGACAAATCCAGCATTATTGTTAACAAATACATTAAGAAGGTTGTATTTGGACCAAAGGTCAAAGCAGTGCCTGAACCAGACACAATCATGTGGTAAGTAACAGCATTTACATAAGCTAATGACAAAGTGTGTAAATGAATGTTTATGTTTCAGGTATAAAGATGGCATTCCTATCAAAAATAATTCAAGCTGCTACAACATGTCAGGCTACAATCTGATTATCAGTGATGTACAGCAGAAGCATGCAGGCGTCTACACAATCACTGTGGGCAACCGGGACAGAGCACTTTACAAGAATTTAACATACTCTCTGCTATTCTATGGTAAGTTCAACTAATAGTCTCGATGAAAAGAAAGTATGTGTATGCTGTGGGGATGATGTGTCCTTCAGTTACTGAAGTCAAGCGGACGGCAGGTAGCGGCTCAGTATGAGAGGAATTTGGGGCTTGTTGATTCCAGGACACGATTGACGTATACAGTGACAGCTGTTGTTGATTATTGGGGCTGCTTTGAAGGGGCTTGGACTCCAAGCCTTGGAGTAGTGTGCAACCGGCAGTCTGTAAGCTCCTGCCGGGGCACTGTTTGAGACGTCCACAATTTATAGACATCTTCACAAAAAGTACAGATTTTTGTAAATGAATTAAAAATGAACTCTCCACCATTCAGTGTTTTACCCTTTTTCAGAGTAACAGTGAACACACTAGAAAACCACCTTATTAACATTAAGATCAACATCCATTCTAATTGAGTACTCTGCTAACGTGTACATGTGTTTATGTCCCATTCATGTTCCAGTAGGGTGCTCCCGTAAATACACAGGGTGATGGGCCAGTGTTTTTTGATCAATAGTGAAAGTGACAGGAGGTCTTTCCTGAACTGTGCAGGAAGGTTCAGCCGAGTACAGAACTCAGACATGGGCACAGGCCACAGAGGGGTTGTTTTTTGACCTACAGCCCCAGGCTTTCCCATCATCCTGCCACAGACTAAGGGAAACTACCAGTGACAGTGTTACATTTCAAACATGCAGAACCCCTACTGCTCATTATTTAGACCTTGTTCCACTGAGGTTCATGTTTATCATCTGTAATGCTTAATTTGAACCTTTTTTCACAGTGCGTCCTTCCATTTTTGAGGCAGAGCTCTCCACGGTGGATGTGCAGCCTTATATGTTTGGCAAAGACCAACAGCTAGCGTGCACTGCCTATGGACTGCCCTTGCCAAACATCACTTGGCTTTGGCAGCCATGTCCCTCGGATCCAAACACAACACAGTGAGTCACTGAGCTTTGATCTAGCGATCATCTGAGCACTCAAGCGTTCAAAATGCCATTTTCTGCATTGATGCTCTGCTAAAATGTTGTTTAGAAGACTGTTAAAAGTACATCAAACCGTCTGGTGGATAATTCTGTGAGACCTTTGTTTATCTCGCTTCCTACTATGATTTGTATCAAAATTCACTGGAGAAATGAACTTTGATTTATTATCCTTCACAGCCTCATTGGCTGTGAAGGATAATAAATGAAAGACTACCATTAAAATATTCTTCCCTGAACCACATAATTTTTACAGACATCAACGATAACACAAAGATTTCTGTAGAAGTTATTTGTATTACCGTAATCGTTTTAGAGTACCATTATGTCCCTGCACTGTGACTATTGAATCTGAATCTGATGTGGATTAATGTACTTTAGTTAAGTAAATGTAGTAGCTCTGATGTTAATATTGGAGAGATGCTTGTACTTTATTGATATGTGAAAGTAATTACCGTAGCATAGTTAGGTCTCCTTTGGCAGGTTGAGAAGTGATCAAATATCAATTGTTGACCACCAAGGTCTAAGGATCAGCTTATCTCGTCTGACCAGAGCTCGGGGGGTTCCTGTGTGAGCTGACGCTCAGCACAGCCCTTCCTGTGGAGGCTGCCATTTCCTCCTCGGCCTCTGCTCTCATCAGGCTGATTGTTCCCCTCCACGGGCGCTGACCGCTTCACTAGGGCTTAGGACAGGTTACATCTGCCACAATCCCAACACCGATCAAGATTTTGTATTTTATTACAGCACACTGCACAGTGATTGTAACAATTTGTAACAAACATGTTTGCACATTTCCTCTCTTTTTGCACAATCTTGAGTGTTTCTATCCATGCCAAATGTGACATGTAAATTTCTCCTTTGTGAGATAAATAAAGCATATCTTATCTTATCTTATCTTATTTGGTTAGAATACGTATCACTAGCTAAGCGTCTAATGTAGCTTTCTGTATGTTGAAATATAATTACTGTATAATAATTATAATTGTATTACAGTTGCAATGGGAGTACTCATCAAGCCCTGGACTCTTTCCTTGTCACAAATGATATTGATAATAGAAATTATTCCCACAACTGGATCAAAAGTGTCAACTACAAACCTGAACTGGTCCAAGGGAAACGCAAGGTACTACTTTATTTTAACATCTCAATTGCTTAGTGGCTTGTAACAATTTTAATAAATCATAGCATAGATTTGGCATGTGATTTATGTCAGGACTGTATTCAAACAGAATGAATGGTTTCGACTGAATGATATATACACTGTTCATTATGACAACCATTGTCATTTTGCTCCTAGACTGCAAGTATACTTCTGACCGGAGCCGTCAATGCATCAGGACTATACACCTGTGTGGCCAACAATGAAGAGGGCACTTACACAATGACAATTCCCTTTTTTGTCACTCGTAAGTATCAACTTGCAGAGATGTGATATAAATGCTATGATTACAGTTTTCACAATGTACAGCTCAAGATATGACACACAGATGATGGGACAACACTGCCTGGAATGTGCTGACTCTTGTGAAGAGTCCAGAGAGGGCATTTAGTGAAACCATGTTTGAGAGTTTAGGAGAGGTGAAGCAGCAATAGAGAAACTCTAATCCATTCTGCCGGAGAGGGAAAGGTTTCAGTGTGTAAAAAATACATCTTATTTTCATCATTATGAATATATATTCTTGGACCCTAAAGAATGGCTGCAGGAGTGTCATTTGCCATGTTGTCCACTAGAGCTTGCATGTTTTTGATTAGCTGTGATGAAACAGGAAATTGCTGCACTTTTGGAATTCTTGGCCTTGTCACAGTGTGGAATAAAGAGGATATTTGTAGCTTGTGCATCTTTTCTATGTTCTAATGAGCTACACAGGCCCCTCCTTCACTTTTCAAACTGAATATATTTGACACACTTGTTTCTCTGCTGTTCCTATAGATCAGTCAGAGGAAATTACGGTTTTGTCTCCGACGGTTATTGAGGGTGATGATGCTGTCCTGACATGCCAAGCAACTCGATATCTCTACACTGACCTCAAGTGGCTTGACTCAAGAAATCAAACCATCACCTTGAATATGTCATCTCTGCAGACTAGCAAATACTCTATTTCCCGGTCTCTTTTTCTATATAACGTGTCTCAAAACAGCTCTGATGGCTACAAGTGTCAGGGGCATAAAGTGCACAATAAAGTTGTGCTGAAAACCGTCATTTTAAACGTTGCAGGTACGTAAGATAAACTTACTTTTGTCGTTTTGTCTTTTAAAGTGTATGAGTTACTATAAACTGTTTCTTTATCAGAAAGAAAATTGCCATGGCTGATCCACAATCTTACAAATCAGCATGTGAATAGTAGCACTACACTTACATTGAATTGCTCGGCCCTTGGAGTTCCTCGTCCATACTTATCATGGTACAAAAATGGGATTGTAGTGGAAAAAGGCCCAGGTATGTATGACCCTGTATAAACTACTCCATCTATGCATTGTTATTGAAATGCATCATTTGAATAATATGTATTTATAGGTATCACATTTGATGATGATGGGGTCCTAACCATTGAGCGGGTAAAAAAAGATGATGAAGGACTTTACGAGTGTGTGGCCATAAATGACCTTGGATCTGCAAAGACAAGCGCCGTGGTAACCGTCTATGGTTAGTCAGTAATTTTTATTTATTTGAAGTCCTACTATGAACCTCATGAGCTAAAAATCTAATATTTATATTATCCTTTGACGAACGGACTGCCTGAAAGTCTCTCTAAACACAAAGTGACTGCCAGCAGTAACGCTCCATAAATCTTTGGTTTTGTGAGCTCACCTGGTTTTGCTTTGAGGGACAGACTTTCTTCGTGTGATTGTAACTGTTCCTGCTCAAAGCGTCTGATAAGGTGTCTCTTACAGATGACGACAGTAAACCAAACGTTGAAGTAATCATCCTGGTTTGCACTGGAGCTGCAGCAACGTTCCTCTGGCTTATGCTCATCGTGTTTATCCGCAAACTGAGAAAGGTAAGATTTAGGGAGCAGGAGATCTATTAGTATGTGTATTATATTTAAAAAAAACAGGTGTAGGTTTAACTGTATTTGTGTGGATATATCAGGGTTCAGATTTTGTGAATTTGATACAAAGTTCATTAATATATATTTTCAGTTAATTTACTGTACACTGCATTTCTGAAACAGTGTAAAGTTTAAAAGCCTATGATTCGGTCGAATTATTTTAGTTAAATTAGGGCTGGGCAATAAATCGAATTTAGGCAATTAATCGGCTTTTGAAAAAATCGAATTTTTGAAAAATGTGAAAATCGTGAAATTGAATGAAGGATATTGTGAGAGTTCCAACAGCACAAGAATTATACTTGCAATATCTGCACAGTCACTTTTATAACACATATTGGGGAAAACAAATTAAAAATAGTTGAATATTGATTGAATATTGAGCGGAAAGATCAAAACATATTTTTGAGGGCATAGTCTGTCTTCGGTGACTTTAATGAAAATCGATAAAAAATCGAAATCGTCCAAAGCTGGGCGTAAAATCGAGATTTTACTTTTTTGCCATATCGCCCAGCCCTAAGTTAAATACTTAATGATCATTAAGTGCTCTTTCCATAGACTCCATAATGCACAGATAAATGTTATTTTAATGAAAATTGTTTTTAATAATACATTAGTTTAATCTTGGTAGTAATTAAAACAAAATCTGCTGTGTTCAAAATTTTGTCATTGATGATTCAGAAGCGTTTTGACTCGATTAAGTCAGTTACAGCCGGATTGATATAAAGCAGTACAAACATTTAAAATATTCTTTCAGCAACCTGCGCATTATAAAATGGGACCATCAATCATCATCGATCCCGATGAGTGTCCTCTTGAAGAACAAATTGATCTTCTTCAGTACGACAGCAGCAAATGGGAGTTTCCTCGAGATCGGCTGCAACTTGGTACGTGTTGAATTTATAACAAAAACAATAAATAAAGTTTTATTTCACACAAGAAACAACTAAATCCCAACTTTCCTTTGCTAAAGTCATTTTCAGTAATATTGGTTTTATGTTAACTCGTGCTTTTGACCTTTGTTATAGTTGAAGAACAATAATACTGTATTTATTCTATGTGTTTAGTTTAAAACATATGTTCTGTTCTCTTGTATGAATTCAGGTAAGACCCTTGGCCATGGAGCTTTTGGAAAAGTCGTGGAGGCTTCAGCATTTGGAATTGACAAGTTTTCAACATGCAAGACTGTTGCAGTTAAAATGCTGAAAGGTACAGTGTTATGGGTTTACATTATACTTTTCTGGCTCTGGTTTGCGTTTCCACCATCGGACCCTTGAAATTTATCCTCAAACCTGAGTGCACTCAATGGTCTGAATAGAGCGTTTATTGTGGTATGCGCAGCAGATGAATAAATCCTATGTGTCACTAAGGCCAGAGATATATTTCCTGAGCAGAGTTCAAGAACCACATGTGACTACAATTAATGTTACTTTGGAGCGTTCAAAGTAAAGCTTGCGTTTTACTTGGAGGTAACGGATAAGACCTCTAACCCTGTCATGATAAAGAAAAGGAGAACTTGATCACCAAGACATCGGTGCAGCAGAACACAAAGAGCATGATTGTATTTATTTAACAAACACATTTTCTGTCTGCATCTGCCGTCAGCAAAATGTCCTGCATTTGTTTGTACCCTTGCTTTTTTTTGTTACGTGTTGAGGGTGTGGACAGGGCATCCATAGGAAGAGCAGGTAGTTTAAATAGTAATCATGTTTGACTATAAATTGTGAACTTTAAGGTCAAACCCACTCTGGTTAGTCCGAGGTCAAATGTAATGGGAAGCAGCAGGTTTCCAAATGGACCATGGTTGGTTGGGGGTCATAACTCCTTTCACCGCCATCGCCCAAATACTGTTTTAATTTTTTAACATTGCAACCATAGGTAATTAAGGAAATATCACCCGACTGTCAACTAAAAACAGGGCTTGCAACAATACATTGTGATGTATCTCAAAATCTAAAACTTCACAGGAGTTCATGTAAAAGCTTTTGTGTATGCAGAAAAAGTGCTAGAACAATAATAGGCATATTTAACTTCACTTGAACTCACTTTCATTCTTGTCCAAAATACAAAAGATTCCCAAAAGATTCTGGGTATCCATGGACCGAACGTAGCTATGTGACCAGTAATATGGGAATAACATTCATCTACAAACCATTGATATGAGATTGACCAATATGTATTTTTTTTTCAGGGGAGATACTGATTATTAGTACTCAAGGAGGCCAATAATCAATATCCGAGCCAATGATTATTTTCGGCTAGAGTGAAGAAAAAAAACACATTCCAACACATTATTTAAGTTAATTTTGACTCTGATTTATAACTTAAAGGTGCAGTAAAGGATTTTTGTTAGCTTAGTTGTAGCATCTGGGTCAAAACCATAGACTGTAAATATTAACGGACGTAGTCACGCCTATCTCCGCCGTTCTAACTAATGTGCCAAAACCAAGCCCTGGCGATCCAAGATGGCGCCGTATTCAAATGAATGGTTTGTGCTCAGTGGCGCATTGTGCCAGCACGGTCGCTGACATTTTAGCGGAACTCACCTGGAACTTGCAAAGATCCATGGGAAACTCGCCTGTATTTGGGCATCGTCTGGTCCTCCCGGTTCTGTGCAGTGGATGAACTCCCATGATGCGTTGCGTGTAATACGCGTGCGTGGCTCTCGTGCACGCGCACAGAGGGGCTTGGCCGCGCTCTGACCAATCAGAACTGCTCATCAGAGCGGGAGTTAGAAAGAGAGCCAGATGGGCAGAGTTTGTGGCACTAAAGTGAAGATTTATAGAAAACCGAAGGATTTAAGAAGAAAAAAAGTTCAGGATGACAAGGGACACTAAAATCCCCACAAAATCCGATCTTTATGAAAGCTTTAGGTTCTCAGTCGGCTGAGGTCGAGCTGTTTTAGTTTACATTGAGTTCTATGGGGAAAATTTCTGTGTAGCCCACGTGAATTTAGTCTTGTTTAGTCTGCAGTACCGCAAGAATCCCCCGAGCACATGAGTTCTTCAGCTTCAAGCTAGTAATAACCTATCCAGTTATTATAATAGATCCATGGCCACAAATTCCACGGTCTATGGGCAGTTTAAAAATGGCGGCGTGGGCTGGAAAATCTGAAAAAATGCATCTGCGCATGCGTCAGCTGGCATGAGCCACATTCATTTAACGAGTGCCTTCAAAAATTCACAGCGACTAAACTAGACTGGTCCACAAAAATTCACTCCCCTCAGCATTGACACACATGTGGAACGGAGCTTTGGGCTAAGAGCCAACTTTTGGACCATCGTGTAAAGATGTTTCGAGAGGTAAGAAGATGCTATATGTTAGCATTGGCTAGTTTTTATTCCGGGTCCACTCCCATCGGCCCGGGGTGGTGTTTGCAAGCATGTCAGCCCACGTAATTTTGGCCACTTTTGAGCTGGGACCCAACCCCACTGGTCAAAACTAGCTTAGCTTCCCCTAACAAACTAGCAATTAGCAAAACTCAATTGCCTTTACAGAGCGCTGGCTGCATTCAGAGTCTTCTTATACAAACAGCTTTTCCTCATCTGATGTTTTCTTCTTTGCCACAACAGGGCGAGTGGCAAAGGTGAAATTGGCCCTTTGGGGGTTTTTGATTCAGCCATTCAAGGTGTTTTAGAAAATCCAACTCAATAACAACTCAGACAGGTTCGCGCACTGACAAAAAGCAGGAGGGGGGGTGAACGGATCCCATTGGTTTATTTCTCTCGGTTCGCTCCAAAAAATGAATGATTTATTTGTTTAGGTTACAGGCATCTGGTCATGTCCATTCCTATTTGAAAACACATGATAACTTGACTACTTTTGGGGTTTAAGGACGTTTCCCCACAGTATTTAAAAAATTGCGTCTGGATAAATCATTGACTGCATCTTTAACTACACTAATCAGTGCTTTGTTTAGGGTCATACACAATAAACATGACTGTGTTACAACATGAGGCTGCATAGAAGAGTAAATAATAGAATAGAAGTGTTCATCTTTAGTTGAGTTATGTCATTGTTGTTTCAACCAGTAGACTGGCTATGGCTTTTAGGTTCTTCTAATAAGACAATTAAAGCAAAACAAAGCTAGTACTGCTTAAATACCTGACATGTTTCGGCGGTACACTTCCGCCTTCATCAGAGGTGACACGTGATGGTGTGACGCGTCTCTTATCAGCTGTTGTTGCCGGAAGCAGTCAGTCTGACAGATCTCACAGATCCATCAGACTGACCACGTCCCCCGCCGCGCTGTGGTCTCTGGAGAAGTGAATCCCAAGTGTGAGCCAAGGTGAAGGCCCCCTCGTCTCTGTTGATGGTCCGTGTTCCCCGCTTCCTGATTTCGATCGCCTCTCGTATCCATCTTTTGTATTTATGTTCTTCTGTTCCTACTATTTTTGCATTGTCCCAGTCCATGATGTGATTCTCTCTTTTGCAGTGGTCTGATATTGCTGATTTGAGGTTTTCCTGTGTTGCCTTTTCCTTGGTTGCTCTTGTTAGTCGCGCTGCCGTTTCTTTTTCGCATTCCTTTTGATGTTCCTTTCTTCTGGTGCTAAAAGCTCCCCCCGTTTCCCCGATGTATGTTTTATTTATTGATGTATGTATAGTGAACTCACTACTAAGCGATACAAACACATACGAAATATTAAAATATAACCCCACAGAGGCAAAGAAACGGAAACTGAAGTCATTACTCAAACCTCTAGCAGACGCAGGAAAAATAACCACACAAGCATACAACCATTTCATTCCCACAGCCAATATCACCCCACGTATGTATGGCACACCAAAAATACACAAAGAAAACACACCACTCCGCCCCATAGTAGACAGCACAGGATCAGTCACATACAACCTATCTAAAGCACTAGTTGAAATAATAAAACCTCTCATTGGAAACACTAACCACCACTGCAAAAACTCAAAGGAACTGGCTCAGGAACTCAAAAACATATCAATCGAAAAGGACGAGGCACTCATATCACATGACGTTGTGTCATTATTCACCAAGACACCCGTTGACGTCACTATTCACATTGTACAAGAGAGACTTAAGAAGGACCGGACACTCAAAAAACGCACAAACCTCACAGCCACAGACATAACACAACTTCTAACTTTTATTGCCAAATCCACTTACTTCCAATACAAGGACACAATATACAGACAGAAGGAGGGTTTTGCCATGGGGGATCCACTATCTGCAATAATGAGCAACTTTTTCATGGAGGATTTAGAGGAGAGAGCCATCAATACAGCACCACAACAATACAAACCAACCCTATGGAAAAGATACGTTGACGACATTTTAGAAAAAGTAAAGACAGGACACACACAGGACCTCACTGACCATCTCAACACCATAGACCCAACAGGACACATACAATTCACACATGAGGAGGAGAGGGAGGGCTGCATACCCTTTCTGGACTTAAACATTCACCACCAACAGGACGGCAGCATCAAGACAACAGTATATAGGAAACCAACACACACTGATCAATATTTACTCTGGACTTCAGAACACCCCATTGCACACAAACTATCTGTTGTCAGAACACTATTTGAACGCCTCAACAACATCACAGAGGAAGAAGACAGGATAAAAGAAGAAGGACACATAATCCAAGCACTCAAGGTTTGTCAATATCCCAGATGGGCAATACAGAAAGGAAGACAACAGGTACTAAACAAACAGATCACACAAAAACAGAGAAAAAAGCAACCACAAAAACACAACGAACACAAAGACATAGTCACCATACCATACATACAAGGGGTCACGGAGCAGATACAGAGAGCACTCGGAAAACACAACATCAATGCAATAATCAAACCACACAAGAAGCTCAGACAGATCCTCGTTCACCCAAAAGACAAAATACAACCGGAAAAAAAGTGCAATGTCATATACAAAATACCATGTAGAACCTGCAATAAAACATACATCGGGGAAACGGGGGGAGCTTTTAGCACCAGAAGAAAGGAACATCAAAAGGAATGCGAAAAAGAAACGGCAGCGCGACTAACAAGAGCAACCAAGGAAAAGGCAACACAGGAAAACCTCAAATCAGCAATATCAGACCACTGCAAAAGAGAGAATCACATCATGGACTGGGACAATGCAAAAATAGTAGGAACAGAAGAACATAAATACAAAAGATGGATACGAGAGGCGATCGAAATCAGGAAGCGGGGAACACGGACCATCAACAGAGACGAGGGGGCCTTCACCTTGGCTCACACTTGGGATTCACTTCTCCAGAGACCACAGCGCGGCGGGGGACGTGGTCAGTCTGATGGATCTGTGAGATCTGTCAGACTGACTGCTTCCGGCAACAACAGCTGATAAGAGACGCGTCACACCATCACGTGTCACCTCTGATGAAGGCGGAAGTGTACCGCCGAAACATGTCAGGTATTTAAGCAGTACTAGCTTTGTTTTGCTTTAATTGTCTTATTAGAAGAACCTAAAAGCCATAAACATAAGAAGACAGAATGAATTTTCTACATTTAGTAGACTGGCTTACGCTAATGATAAAGATAAAAACATTTGGGGAAAACTTGGCTGATACTGGTATATGGTTGTATATATTGGTTAATGTTGTTGCTGATAATCGATAATTGACCAATAAACTTTTCTATAATATCTTATTTTACCATGAATATATTATTCCTGATAACATGATGCATTCTCAAGTTGGAGACATGTTTGGGGGACCAATGTATCATGCATAGAAATAGAGTTATTTGGAGAAAAAAGGTCGGTAGCCTTAGACAACATCCACTCATCGACTAAATTACCGTTTCATTGTTTCGTAGGGGGTGCTACATCTAATGAACGAAAAGCTCTGATGTCAGAGTTGAAAATCCTTATTCACATAGGACATCATTTGAATGTTGTGAATCTGCTGGGAGCCTGCACAAAGCCAGGAGGTATGAAGCATTTGAACTGGTTTGCAGATTAGTTTACTTATATTTACCTTATTTTTCCATGCATAGGACCGTTAATGATGATTGTTGAGTTTTGCAAATATGGAAATTTGTCAAACTACTTAAGGAGCAAAAGAGATGATTTTATCGTCTATAAGGTAAGATTTGTCTCCTTCTGTTTACTGATAAAAACCTGCTTTGCTGACTTCCTTTGGCTTGTGTTTGGGGCAGAACCAGGACGGTAAGATGGTGTCAGGCTCTGACTGTGAGCTGAGCGAGCTGATGAAGCGGCGTCTGGAGAGTGTGGCTAGCACCGGAAGCTCAGCCAGCTCTGGTTTTATAGAAGATAAGAGCTACTGCGACTCGGAGGAAGAGGAAGAAGGTAAGCCCTGACTCCTGCTGCCTCGCCACCCCCTGGGTCTCAACTATAACCCACAGAAACTAAGTCTCCTTGGATTGTTTTCTGATGGGACACTTCCTGCTCCTGTGCGGTAGTACAATCACAGCTTCTGTAACCCACTGAGATCAGGGAGGCGCCTGTGTGTTTCCTGCTCCTGCTCGCTGATGCTAAACTCCAAACTCTGACCTGTGTTTCACATGTATTATTCTGTGTTTGATTAGCTGTTTACTCAGGTGTATATGTGGAAGGACTCCTCTGAGCACAAATATACACGTTTCACCATCATCATGAACGATGAATAGTGATTGTATTTGGTCTATGATAGTTAAAGCATGTGTTAAACGACACTGTATGTAATATTTAAATTAGAAATATGATTCAAACAAGTATTTTTTTTACAGAAGCTGAAGATTTATACAAAAGAGTCCTAACTTTAGAAGATTTAATTTGCTACAGTTTCCAAGTTGCCAAAGGAATGGAGTTCTTGGCCTCTCGTAAGGTAGATCTGAAGACAAAAGTCTTGATTGTACATTGGAAACCTTTTCTTTACAAAACTTACTTTTGAAACAATCATTTGTTTCTTAATAACACTTCTTAATTTCCTAGTGCATCCATCGAGATTTGGCTGCAAGAAACATTTTACTCTCTGAAAACAATGTCGTAAAGATATGTGACTTTGGCCTCGCTCGGGATGTGTACAAAGATCCAGATTATGTGCGCAAAGGAGATGTAAGTGCTGGTTGTAAATACAGTTTTGGTGACATTAAATGAATGATTGCGCTTCATGAGATTTTTTGTCTACAGGCAAGACTCCCACTGAAGTGGATGGCACCTGAGGCCATTTTTGACAAAGTCTACACAACTCAGAGTGACGTGTGGTCTTTTGGCGTTCTCATGTGGGAAATCTTCTCTTTGGGTAAATGTAATTATGTATGGTTTATGTATGTTTGGGTTTTGGGAAATAATGGAAAGTTAAGACAAAATCTTGGACTTTGTTTCTCTAAAAAAACAAAGATATATTGAATCATTTCACCAGAGAACAACTTTTAATGAGATTATTGCAGCAAGAACCCAACCACGGTTAACTAAAAGCTTACGATAGTTACCTTATACTGTAGGATTCTAACTTTCAGGGCTTTAGACTTAAAGATGAACTAATAATCCATAGGGGAAATGAACACATAATAACAAAGAAATATGATAGTAAAAAACTTGTATTTACTATATCAAAAGATACAGTAAATAAAAGACTAAAAAGACAAGATTACGATTGTAACCGTTTAGTGAGATGAATGAAAGAAGTACTATACTCTCTGAGTAAAGAACATTTCAAATATGATATTTCTCTTGTTTTTGTAGGTGCCTCCCCGTATCCTGGAGTCCAAATTGATGAAGAGTTTTGTTGCAGACTGAAGGAAGGCACCAGGATGAGAGCACCGGAATACTCCTCATCAGAAATGTAAGAAAACACATCATTATAGAGCACTGGATCAACACTTAAACAACTCAATGACAAAGATATTGTTTCATTTGTTATCTTTTCTGAAAGAGCAAAACAAATTACTACAAATGTGAAGTGAAAGCAAAGTTATACTATCTATTCTATTATATTACGTTTAATAGAATAGATAGTATTCTACATACTGCATATTTCTCTTTGCAAAACAACTCAAGCTCTGTTTGATGAGCTAGAAAGCACTGTAGTTTTTTTTTTTTTCTTTTTGCAAACCACTGTACAGTATATGGCTAATGCAACATTACAGTATCTGATCATTGGTTTTGGGTGAAAAGTTAGTTGTTCTAGCCACTTGTTATTATTATTTAAAACATTTCTCAAACCAAAAATGTCAAGTTAAAGGTTAAGGTGCCAAGTTAAACCAGGTGAATACATTCGTCAACTTTGAAAAATAAACCCAAACCCTAACAGCATTGACTTGATCCTCTAAATGTAATCCAGACAGTAGTTTTCACATCTCTTGCTGTGGTATTTGTACAGACAGACCAACTGGTGCCAAGAATCCCATGTACATTTCAGCACCTGAAAAGAAGCCAGATTATATATTTCATGCTTGTGACGTTGAGGTTGAGTCTTAGGCCAAGATAAATCGCTTTTAAAGCCGTAAAAATAAATGTTGGGGGAAATGTTCAGAGTCAATCAGATGAAACCGGTCAGGTTCGGGTTTCCTGTGAGAAGCGTGTGCTGGATTAGTCTAGCTGCAGGTTGTGATACTAAAACAAATCAAAGTTATTTTTCAGATGATGCTTGAACAAAAGAAAGACATTAGGAAGAGGATGCTTACTTCCTGGCTCTTGCTCAATATAAAAACACAGCCGCTGTGCTATTTATGCTCACAGAGACATGGGGAGTAAATATGCAGACATGTCATGGGCCTACTTCCTATGATGCCTCACTGCTTGAGAATGTGAGATCGTCCTGTGCCTTTTACACCCAGTTTTCTGAAGGCTCCGCTTACACAACTCTAATCTACAGTCGTATGATCCTAAAGTGGGGACCTAACTTTAAACCACAAATAATGGAACTGTATGTAATAAATTCCATCTAACAAGTTCCTTGATCTCAAAACACTAGTTATTGATTGATAATGAAATACAGGTTAATTATAATCATCATCTAATAAAAAACTAACATACAATTCTGAAGTCAGATGATTAATCATAAAGAGTTTTACATTCTAATTAAGTATTGTTTTCATTCACACAAGTTTATTACTTACTGTTTAAACCTCCAGTTATCAAACCATGTTGGACTGCTGGCACGGCGAGCCGCTGAAGAGACCCTCCTTCACTGAGCTGGTGGGACAACTCGGGGATCTGCTTCAGGCCAGTGTGCAACAGGTAACAATAAGCACAACAAACCGTGCTGTAAATATTTTTTTTAGGCATTTTGAATCCCTGCAAGGAGAAAGAAACAGTATCAGTTTATTTGACAGGGACAGTGTAGGGAGTCAATCCCCTGAAAGGGCACTGGACTTTAAGAATGTACGCATAGATATACGTATATAAGTCAATAGTGCACATGTATGCATCATTAGTGTGCCTTTAGTTACGGGTCCAACAGCCTGAAATATTTTCTGAACCTTATTGTTTATACATTGTATGGGAATCTTATCCATCAAACTGAGAGTCCCCTGTATAGATACGAGTGGTATTGCCAGGCTCTTTTAAACTAGAGGTTTAGTTACAAAGCACAAAGCCTGTCTAATCTTGAGGTGATAAACTCAAACTGATATCGTTAGTATAATCACATGTTATGTCGACTGCAACAGGAGGGGAAACACTACATCCCGATCAACACAGTGTTATTGGCCAAAGTCGTGGATCCATCCGGAACTGTGTCCACAGACGAGAAGCTCACACGACCTCTTTCCCACCGCAACTCTGGAGACACATGGTGAGACACCAACCTTCTCTTCTGACAGGAATCACTTGACTCAGATAATCAGCTGTTTAGGGTTTTTAGGGAAATTTTGCCTGAAGCCCTGACTCTGTGGGAAATAAATGCGTTTTCCACATTTTATGTTGGTCCTCTACAGTCTTTCACATCTTCTCAGCAAACCGCACTTGCAGCCTTTCTATTTCCAAAGTCACAGAGAACCAGTGTTAGCGGCTACATAAGCAGTGATTGACAGTGAGGTTGTGATGTTCACCACATTTTGCACACACTAGATTAATACAGCCTCCCCGGTAAGGTCTACTCCAAGGTACTGGAGAGGAGGCTACGTCCGATGGTCGAATCTCGGATTCAGGAGGAGCAGTGTGGTTTTCGTCCCGGTCGCGGAACACTGGACCAGCTCTATACTCTCCATCGGATACTCGAGGGTTCATGGGAGTTCGCCCAACCTGTCCACATGTGCTTTGTGGATTTGGAGAAGGCGTTCGACCGTGTTCCCCGGGGTGTCCTTTGGGGGGTCCTCCGGGAGTACGGGGTCCGGGGTCCTCTGCTGAGGGCTGTTCGGTCCCTGTATGACCGGAGCCAGAGCTGTGTTCGCATTGCCGGCAGTAAGTCAGACCTGTTCCCGGTGCATGTTGGCCTCCGCCAAGGCTGCCCTTTGTCACCGGTTCTGTTCACTGTATTTATGGACAGAATCTCTAGGCGCAGCCAGGGGCCGGAGGGGGTCCGGTTCGGGAACCACAGGATTTCATCTCTACTTTTTGCGGATGATGTCGTCCTGCTGGCTCCAACGAACCAGGACCTGCAACATGCACTGGGACGGTTTGCAGCCGAGTGTGAAGCGGCTGGGATGAGAATCAGCACCTCCAAATCCGAGGCCATGGTGCTCGACCGGAAAAAGGTGCCTTGCCCTCTCCAGGTGGGTGGAGAGGTCCTTCCTCAAGTGGAGGAGTTCAAGTATCTCGGGGTCTTGTTCACGAGTGAGGGGAGGATGGAGCGTGAGATTGACAGGCGGATCGGTGCAGCGTGCGCAGTGATGCGGTCTCTGTATCGGACCGTTGTGGTAAAGAGGGAGCTGAGCCAAAAGGCAAAGCTCTCAATTTACCGGTCAATCTTCGTTCCCTCCCTCACCTATGGTCATGAGCTGTGGGTAATGACCGAAAGAACGAGATCGCGGTACAAGCGGTCGAAATGAGCTTCCTCCGCAGAGTGGCTGGGCGCTCCCTTAGAGATAGGGTGAGGAGCTCGGTCACACGGGAGGAGCTCGGAGTAGAGCCGCTGCTTCTCCACGTCGAGAGGAACCAGTTGAGGTGGCTCGGGCATCTGTTCAGGATGCCTCCTGGACGCCTTCCTGGGGAGGTGTTCCGGGCACGTCCCACCGGGAGGAGGCCCCGGGGAAGACCCAGGACACGCTGGAGAGACTATGTCTCTCAGCTGGCCTGGGAACGCCTAGGGGTCCCCCCGGACGAGCTGGAGGAGGTGTGTGTGGATAGGGAAGTCTGGGCGTCTCTGCTTAGACTGCTGCCCCCGCGACCCGGCAACGGATAAAGCGGAAGAAAATGGATGGATGGATGGATAGATTAATACATATTTTGTGATTTCACAGTAAAAAGGCTTTGCTATGATTTGAATTCATGGTAAAACAATGTAAACTACGCACAATGGGACTGACTGATACTTGATAAGAAACGCAGCAAAGTGCTTTCAGGGCAGGAATTTCCCCAGAAGCACATGGACCGCCTTGAGATTTATGTCCACTTGAAATAATATTTGTCCTGGGCAGATTTTCACTGTGTTTGTAGAAAGGTGTTGAAAAGCAGCAGAGACAGTTTGCTCTTTAGTTAAATTAGTGTGTTTTAACCACAGTGTTGAAATGTATACGTCAACAAAGAGCTATGGTATAGAGCAGTGTTCCCCAACCTTTTTTAGCCATGGCACATCTTATTCATGGAAAAACAATCACATGGCACACCACAAGCTGAAACTGATACAAAAATTAAACTTTAGTAACAAGGCAAATTTTTCTCATCAAAGTGTATTTTATTTCAAATCAAACAAGCACCAACATTTATTTAATCTTCTCGCATTCTTTTCTGTATATTTCATCTAGATTGTTTCTTTAACGTCTCACTTGTTTTATTGGTTCAGCCAACCAGTACATTAAAAGTTTTTTTATTAAAATACAATTATTTTGTTGGCAGGAACATGAAGATACGTCCAGCCAGTGTGAAAACCTTTGATGAGGTGACCATGGACAATGGAACAAGTCAGAATCATGTGGTAATGTCATTTTTACAACAATAGTTTCTAGCCAGATAGATTTATCCCACTTGAGGAAATTCGAGTTTTCATCAGTAGTCAGACCATACCGACACTAGACAGAAACCTAAAATCATCAATAGAAAGGAAAATGCAGATAAAACCTCTGTACAAGAGAAATGTAACGTTTGTGACCTGTGTGTGTCCACCAGAGTGGGCAGTCAGACAGTGGCATGGGCCTGTCCACAGAAGACATGAAGACACTGAAGCGTCTTGAATCCTTGGCTGGGCGACCTCTCAGCATCATGGCTTTGGCGTAAGTGCAGGGTGAAGCCTTAGACGTAGCCTGGAAGGGACCAGACCTGCTGGGAAACGTCCCCACTGAGCAGGAATGCAGACGCTGTAACGTCTTACAGCACACACTGCGCCGCGTTTCAAAAGAAGTCTGCAACTAGTTTGGTCTTTTGTGTCCAGAGACCACGCCTGAGGCCAAGTGGCACAAAGGCGACGTGGGTTAGATAAAGTTTGGAGGGGACAAACTGAAAGGCCGAGCGGCTGCATTACCAGAGGCTCACATGTTTTAAAGGCTGAGCTTTTGTTTCTCAAACATTGTTGTTCTTCCAAAGTATCTCAGGCTTAAGCTCCTCATGAAACAGTAACAAATGGGTTTCAGTGTGTAGTTCAGATGTCTGTGGTGTTCGCACTTTGGGATTTTTGAGGAGAAAATCAAATTTTAGTCAAAACTGTTTAAATCATTCGCTCCTTTGTCCCCAGCAGGAGTTTCAGCACTCACATATTAAACTCACAGCAGTCAGTGGCAAGGTTAATTCACAGGTCACACCCTCTGATCCAGCCATTACTCTCTCAAAACTATAATAACGTTCTGTCAGCAGGCAGCAGGAAAGCGCAAGGGTTTGTGTTGCTGCACTTTGTTATCTTATTTCCTTGTTAAGGCAGGAAAAACGTATTGGCTACTACGTGTATGAATTTTTTATACTTTTACATACTACAAGAAAACAAACATGCAGATTTCTGAATTTTTTTTAATTTATAAATGTATTTTTGATGTAAATTTCAATGTTTATGATTTATGCTTGACGTGATATGGGTTGTGAGGCGCTTTGTGTTTCCTTGTCTAGGAAACGTGCTCTACAAATAAAAGTTGATTGATAGATTGATTCATAATACCCTTTAGGAATATTATTAAAACTGGCCACTGTGAGAAAAGAAGTCATTTGTCTGGACTGTGGTCGGTGTATGGGGAGTGTAAATCAGCAGAAAATATTTGTGAAATCATGCATAATCAAAGTATTGTTGTGATTATACTAAATAAATAAACAGAGAGAGTGATAAATAGTGATAAATAGTGCATGATTTACTTTATATACATTATTTAACAGAACGCTACATGCTTCTTTAGCCCTTTTAGCTCTGAAACAGTCGGTGGAGGGCTCCAGCTTTGATACGGCCCGCTGCTATGGTGAAGTGCACATAGGCATGTGGAGAAAGACGTGACGGGACTTTCTTATTGGACACTCGTACAAACGAGTGTCACCTATGATTTTTACGAGGCTCTTCTCCTTAGAAGCTGTTTTTCTTTTGTTCTGCCAGCTCTTAAGGGCATGTTTTTATCTCCTGAAACCCAAGTAATTATGTAATCTTTAATAGACTATTGTAATTTGTAATTTGTACATCTCTTCTCCGCCATAAACACAGCATACCAGTACAGAGGCGTCATCTGCCCCTGCTGGGCTCTCACCCTTTGCCCTTTGCTGTGGAGCTCAGGAAACTCCTAGCAACCGACAAAGACAAAAGCCTATAACTATTACTCATATTATGAGCCTCAAGCCGTGTAGAAATGGCGTACAGATTGATTATGCCATAGAGCCAAAACTAAAAAACTTGTGCTCATTTCCTACTGCACAATGTTCTGAAAATCATGCTTATGAATTGTAGTCGTGGATGAAAAAACATTGGTCTAATCTGGTCGATAAGAAAATTCTGTCATAGATTTGTAGTGAACAATAGAGGTGAAACTCGGAAATATTGTTTATCAACTCACCTCATCTTTAACCAGTTATGGAGGTGGAAGATCTTGGTTTGTGAGCATGAAAGTCCGTTTACAGTTCATTCACATGTGTTATACTTTTTAATGCCAAAAAACTATTCAAAGTGCGAGGGTCAACTGGGTCTGTGAATATACTGACTGCCTCTTTATTTCCAGGAAAAAGGCCATGAGTAAGAGCAAAGAGTCGGTCCTGGGCGACTTCAGCCTGGATGACTCCGCGCTGGATGTGGCTCTGGAGTGTCACAGCCCTCCACCCGACTACAACTCTGTGGTGCGCTACTCTGCTCCACCGGTTTAACACTCGCTCCCCCTCAGGACCCTCTTCTTCCATCCACTGACTTTTAGGAGCAAAACCTACACCACAAAAGTGGATTCTGGGGGTGGCTACTGCATGACAAAAAACCTTCCGATTTATATGCGCCATGATTTTTCCACCTTTGCACAAGCTCAGGTAACTTTTGTATCTACTGTGAAAAGGCACTTGAGTCCTAACAAATGCATTATCTAGTCTAGTGGTCTTGTGAAATTCCCCTGGGGCAGAGATCTAGTAAGAAATGCCGTTAATTTAACAGTCAGATGTAACTGTGTTCTATTCTCTACCACACAATTCGGCATCTAACGTGTGCATTTACAGCTATATTGAAAATGTTATGAATATGAATCATGTGGCGTTTTTAATATATTTACTTGGGGTACATAACCTAATACATACAATTTGTCCCAACATAACAAGTCTTGTCAAAATGAAATGTTGTAAACAAATTAGACCACAGCACGCAGTCTTCATCCCTGTGAGTCACTATTTCGACAATTTTGGTGATCTCTTTTCCTGGAATAGCTGAGTGAAAGATGTGACAGAGGTCAGAAATGCATGTTTCTTTGGAAACAAGAGATAGATAATAGTTTTGAGAGAGAGGAGTGTCAGACGGATTTTTTTTTTTTTACCCCAGATTTAATACTACAAGGAAAGACGATATTAGGAAAGTAAAAGTTAGGTTTATTTTTTGATGTGGTGAGAAGGTCCATGCACCACGGAACATAGATATGATCCTCCCATGAAGCTAAACTCAGGCTGGTAATAAACAGGAGGTGAAACTATTTTTACTTACCCATCCATCCATCCATTTTCTACCCTTTAATCCATTACTGGGTCAGGGGGGTGGCAATCAGAGATGCCACCCAAGTCTCATAGCACCAGCCCCTCACTGACCCTCTGCAGGTGGTGAGTCCACAGGAGGACGGCTGCTCTCTGAGTGTGAGCATAGCCTTGATCTTTCAGTGGGGGCTTTGGGCAAAGTGGGGTTAAGTGTCTTGCCCAAGGACACAACGACAGCAGTCATCAGTGGGAGTCGGTGGAGAAGGTGTAGAGGTGGGAATTGAACCCACGACCTTCAGGCCTGAAGGCCAATGCTCTACCAACTGAGCTACTGTCGCCCTATTTTTGCTTACCCACAAAAGCACTATTAAACAAATTGATATATTTATGATAACTTTCTGGGGCGACAGTAGCTCAGTTGGTAGAGCATTGGCCTTAAGGCCAGAAGGTCGTGGGTTCAATTCCCACCTCTACACCTTCTCCACCGACTCCCACTGATGACTGCTGTTGTTGTGTCCTTGGGCAAGACACTTAACCCCACTTTGCCCAAAGCCCCCGCTGGAAGATCTCAGCTCCTGTGGACTCACCACCCGCAGAGGATCAGTGAGGGGCTGGTGCTATGAGACTTGGGTGGCATCTCTGACTGCCACCCCCCTGACCCAGAAATGGATTAAAGGGTAGAAAATGGATGGAAATGGATGGATGATAACTTTCTCTATTGGGGAATAGGACTGTAGGGTTTCAGCTGTGGGAGGCCTGTCTTTCTGTTGCCAAACATGTCAGAGTTGTACGTGGAACATTTATAATCAAGATATTGTAAGTAGCATTTTGAACCAGAACAATATTTGGTCCTTGCAACTCCATGTCCCGTTGGGAAAATAGATAGTTATGCACTGAAGTTTTATATTGATTGTTTTTCATACTTTAGAGTATATTATATTGTTATCAAACAGTGTTACAACAGAGTATTTTATTTAACTATTTTATGATACATTGGTTTTATATTTGTATTGTTTTATCCACATTCATGTAAACACATTCCAGTGGCTCAGAAGTATAACATCACTGTAGCCTATTACAGTTACATATACTTTCTCTGTTGTAATAGGTTGTACCATTTTAAAAAGTACTGTCTTCACACTGTACACAGAACATATGAACAAATAAACAATATATTTATACAGTAATAAATGTCTACAAGTTTTGTTTTTTAACAGCATTGTGTCAGCTCTTTCCACGTCTGGTTGTCCTCTGGTCAAAACTGCCAAAACTATAAAAGCATTTAATTTCATGTATTTGTTTATTTCAAGCTTACAGTTGTTATTCCATGTGTATTTCACAATATTTACCATTCAAGTGTGCACATTCATGTATCTTCTTATCAAATATACATCATTTTCACTTGTTTGTTTGTTGCTGATGAGTCTGAAAGGAAGGGAAGAAAAAAACATTCATAGTGTAGATAACATCTGGTGGTGTTATGGGAATAGAAGTGTGAGTCGGCTACACGCAAATAAGACATTCCTTATCTTTCCTTTCCAATGGGAAAGATTGGGAATTTCCATCACTCAACTATCCACACTTTGTACTAATTCTTCAAATTATGACTTGTCACTTTCTCTTGTGTGACTGAGCATCTTTCTCTGACGGAGCACCCAGTCACTTTGTGGAGGAAACTCATTTTGTGAACGCAATCTCGTCTTTTCGGTCATTACCCAAAGTTCATAGCATTAGGTGAGGGAGGGAATGTAGGACTCAGCTCCCTCACTACATTGATCTGATGACGCTCTGAGTGCAGACGCTGCTCCTTCTTCCCTCACTCGTGAACAAGACCTCGAGATACTTGAGCTCCTCTTAAGAAGTTTTGAAGACATTTTACATTTTTACTTAGGTACATACAAAAGCTTGTACTTTAATATTATTACTTAAGTAAGGGAATGATTATAATATATTTGCTATAGTTGATGTTTGTAAATGTATCGAAACTTTTCGACTTCTGGATACAGTTACTTCTTTTGTTATCTCAGGTGATGTGACACCTTCATTATGTCCTAAATGTACATCCTTGGTTGGGAAAGTTTGAGAATTATTCACCAATACTGTACCTGAAATCTCTTTTGGGCATCACTGATACAGTAAATCCGACGTCTGGTTTGTGCCTTAATGAAGCGTGTGTTTGTGCTGGAGCTGTCAGTGCCTCACATCCTGACCCGGGATGAGGTGTCGGCAGCCTGTCTGTTCACTGCTATACAATGCCCTCGGAGTCTGAACAGGGGGAAGGAAGGAACTCTTAATCATCCCCCAAGAAACATTCGCTGTTCCCAACTCACAAATCCACCCAAGGCTTCCAACTGGCACCAGTTTACTGACACTGGGAGGGTCCACGAGTCACACGCCACTGTTCTGGGACCTCATTTATAACACTTTACAGATGAGGCCCTAGAATATAAATAACTCAATCCTAACTTTTCAAAGCATAAGTCACGCCTCATTTCGACAAGGTACAATACGGAAAAGTACTAATTTCATAAAATTCCTCAGATTAAGATAAGATAAGATGTGCTTTATTTATCTCACAGAGGAGAAATTTACATGTCACATTTGGCATGGATAGAGAGACACTCAGATTGTGCAAACGGAGGAAATGTGCAAACATGTTACATGCAGGATATATATGTACAATAAAGTGACAATAATTATGTGCAACAAAAGTGACAAGTGTCAATTGGAAACAGTGTCAATAGACTATATTTGCCATTTGCAGTTCAAAACCACATGTACGATTCGACCACAATCTCTTACCACAATGGCGCAGTGGTGCTAACCACAAGAAGGTAAATGGTTCCATTCCACCTCCAGATTTTTTTATGTGGAGTTTGCACGTTCTCCCAATGTCTTTGTAGTTTACCTCCAGGTGCTCCGATTTCCTCTACCACTAAAAAATGTTTCAATCAGTCTGACACGAGCATGTATGGTGACTGTGTGGAGTGAGAGGAAAACATACAACAATTGTAAAACCCTTTGTTATGAAGCGCTATATAAATAAATGACTTACACTTGCTGTTAAACTGTGAACAGTGGAGAGTGTGAAAACATCCATCCATCCATCCATCCATTTTCTTCCCCTTAATCCATTTCTGGGTCGGGAGAGTGGCAGTCAGAGCTGCACCCAGTACACAGAGCACTAGCCCCTCGGTGATCCTCCTGCAGGTGGTGAGTCAGGAGCCTTGATCTTTCAGCGGGGGCTTCCGGTGAAAAAACAAAAAAAATCTGAAAACAAAGTCAACGATGTCAAAACTCAGCTTATTGTTTTGGAAAAAATGTATTTTGACGGTTAATAAATATTAATTTAGTCAAAAACTACCAACATGAACCATGATACAGTAGATGTTCAAAATAAAAGGGGCCTCAAACTGATCTGTGCATGGACCACAGAGAAATTGTGATAATTATGATGAAAAATAAAAGAAGAAATGCTCACCCATGATCCGTACTGCAGTTTTCTGACTTTCCATTCTTAATCAAAAGAACTTTCTCACTAACTGAAGTACAGGTTATGAGTGAGCAACCTTTCTTTGTTTTGACTAATCCCTGAATGTTTGAGAGTTTACACAAACTTACAAATATAATGGTTAAAACTGTTGTGTTGAAAGGTAGAGACGGAAAATTAAACTTTTTAAAGTTGAGGGAATTCTCTCAGGCAAAGTTAGCAGAGAAAAGGGCGAGCTCTCAGGGCTAGATCTACAGTACTAAAAAAAGATTATCCCTAAATAAAATGACTCAACTAACTTCACACAAGGGGTGAAATATTAAACTGTTCTTCACTGCACACAGCCACGGAGATGACAAACCAGATGTCCCTGTTTTTTTTCCAGAACCCCCATGCATGCAGCCCAACAAAGTGAAAGGTGGGTATAGATGGCGCAGGACACATCCGCACCCCTCACCTAAAACAGAACAATGGACCGGATTCACCCCCGTAAAAAGATCCACTCCACCCACAGCACAAACAACATGTAAACAAAGCTATATTTATGGAAGGAGGAAAAATGACGCCTAAAAGTACCAATCATTAATATATACCAGTTTTTTGGTTTTTTTTTTTGAGAGAGAGAGATTGTGGGAGCCTGCAATTGGTGAAGATCCAGCATGTTGCCTAAGATTGGAGCAAAACTAAAAATAACCCCCACAAAAAAGCAGCT